TCTCTCGTTCAGAAAGGTTCTCTCTGTAAGCTGTCTGTGCACTATATGTAGCACAGGTCCCTGGACGGCTATGTACAGTGTGACTTGTGTCTACGCTGCAGCGGTCCGGGATGTACTGACTCATCTGGCTTCCAGTTGGATTCAAGGGACTGTTCACTCATATATCAAACAATCCGGAATACAACAAACGTTTTTTAACTTTAACTCTTACAGTTCCCTTCATTGTTTTTGCAGCAGAACTTCACAAGTTAATTTAAATAAATCACGAATGAAAATAATCAATTAAAAAGTAATAAAGATATTTCCTTCTTAATCTAACATAACTTTAAAAGGTACCATAATGAATCAGACATAACACTATATAAAGAAGTCTCTGAAATAACGTCTACAGTGCCATTAAATCCTAACTTCTTGTTCTTTAATACTGGATTTTCTTCTCGACCACCCCCCTTATCAAGTCCATGGTTTACCTGTTCCCGTGTAAATCTGTTTTACTTAGCCTCACTTCTCCTTCTGAATCCGCTACCTAGAAGGTAAATTAACGAATGAGAACAAATCAAGGTATAAAATGAGATATCAAAATTTTAACGTATATTGTTAAGATAATTGACAAAGAAATAATAGAAGATTTGAAAAAGAAACAGACATGGAAAACTCTTATTTTTAAAATGAGAACTGAATCTCAGTCATAGGAATGAAGATTTACAGATGCAAAGCACTTTTTATCAATATGTGTTTAAGAGTAATCGGTAACATCCTGACCGCCATGCCATTAATTGATCTTATTTTATGGATTCAGAACACAACTTAGTCTTAGTCAAAAATAAGAAGAAATATGCAAAACCTTGTTCATCATTAATTCTGAAGGAGTAATTGGCAACATCCTGACCGCCATGCCATACATTAATTGATCTTTTTTTTTTGGATTCAGAACACAACTTAGTCAAAAATATGAAGAAATATGCTAAACCTTTTTCATCATTAATTCTAAAGGAGTAATTGGTAACATTCTGATCACCATGCCATACATTAATTGATCTTATTTTTTAAATTAGAACCCAATTGGTTCTTATTTTTAAAATTAGAACCCAACTGGATCTTAATTTTGAAATTAGAACACAACTGGATCTTATTTTTGAAATTAGAACACAACTGGATCTTATTTTTGAAATTAGAACACAACTGGATCTTATTTTTGAAATTAGAACCCAACTGGATCTTATTTTTGAAATTAAAACACAACTGGATCTTATTTTTGAAATTAGAACACAACTGGATCTTATTTTTGAAATTAGAACCCAGCTGGATCTTATTTTTGAAATTAAAACACAACTGGATCTTATTTTTGAAATTAAAACACAACTGGATCTTATTTTTAAAAATTAGAACACAACTGGATCTTATTTTTGAAATTAGAACCCAACTGGATCTTATTTTTGAAATTAGACCACAACTGGATCTTATTTTTGAAATTAAAACACAACTGGATCTTATTTTTGAAATTAAAACACAACTGGATCTTATTTTTGAAATTAGAACACAAATTCAAGTCTTAGCAAATCGCTTTGCATAGATATTAAGATTTTAAAGCCGAGAAAATGTTAATCATTTGTTTCATCATTATGTTTTAAGGAATAATTGGCAACATCCAAATAATTTAATATTAATAATGATAGTTAGAGAGAGTTACGAGTACCTGAGCTAGAAGTTCTTTGTGGCGTTTTATCAGGTAGCATTTACGCGCAGTGACACCACTGAAGTCTACCTCGATGAAGTTCTTCACGGGTTTCCCCTCCCCAATCAGCTTCCAGTAGAGGGTATCGAACCCGGCCCCGAGGTTTATCATTTGAACCTTCGTGTCACAAGCATCAAAGAATTTATCAATGAGATACCTGGGGTAAACAGAATAGAAATAAAACCATTTAAATGGATTGGAAAGTTTATAGAAAAAGACGATAAGTCAAAATTCCTCAAATAAGTTGTACGAGAAATCAAAATACAAAAAAGTTAGAACTTCTGTTTTTTTTTATGCCAAGATTTAATATTTGAAATTGCAATGTAGAAGTGCTTTTTAAGAAAAAAGAAAAACTTTGAAAATAAAAATCTAAGGTTTTCATTTAATAATTTCTATCGTTTCCTGAATCCTGTAACCCTGGCATAGTAGCCCAGGTGAATCTCAGGGGCCCTCTTCACCCCGCTCTTTACCATGAGAGACAGGTAGGGGTCGGACCAGTACCCCAGCTTCACAGCTGACAGCTTACACGCAGTAGCATCGTCGTTCGTGTTCTGCACACCTTCATCACCATTCATCATGCCATTCTCATCTGAAATACATATGTTTAGTTTTCATTAACAAAATGAAAAATAAAATATATCAAATGTTGATTCTTTTTTTAGACTTTTGAATAATAAGTTTGACAGCGTAGCAAAATAAAAAATTAACTTAAAAAACTGTTGTGGTCATTTTAAGTATTAAGTAAAGAGAAGAATACCCGATTCAAACTGGAACCCTTAACATCTTTATCGATTATCAATTATCCATTATTTTATTAAAGATATCGTTGTTTTTCTTAAATGATAAGTATTTAATTCTAAAAATTTCCTCCATCGTTTCTGCAGCAAAATTCTATATTTAATTTTTATAGAGACTTTAGATTGACTATAATCAATTTTCAAGGAGAAGAACATGGGTATTTCATTCATTCTTGATCAGACGACGTTTTAAAGGGTACCGTTATATATCAGAGATGCAACTCTTTATTAGGGAGTAACTTGACAATGATATTACGTTTATACAGTCCCTTTAACAGACATCAGAAATAGTTGTAAAATGATATTTTGTACAATATTATCACAGTTATACAATAGCTTTATATAATGCATTAAAATACAGAAATGGATATGTGTCCCTTGTACATTTTAAGACCCAACATATGAATGATTTAATAATGTATTTATCATAATAAGAAACTCAAGAAAAATTTAAATGAACTTTTTAGAGGAACAGGGTTCTGGTTTCCAAAAAGATATAAATTTCATGTTTTTTATGAGGGGGGGGGGGGGTGAACTTTCCCTTATTTGAGACGGAAGGTTTCTTTCAAGTTTCCAAATTGGTACTTTCATAGGAGTGTAAATTTTTGATGATGGGGGAGGTGGGGTTTGACAACAAAAATTCTATTATAGTCCAGCTCTGAAAAATAATTTACCGCTCCGCGCTCTGTGAAAAAAAATGATTTTCTAGAAAATATAAACGCCTGGTCTATCAAAACTACGAATTAGCAAAGATCAAGTTCTTCATCATCATTGGCTTGTGCCGGAAGCTGTATGTCTCGTGCAAGTTTAACATAATCATTATCTAAACTTCGGACCACTGCACTACCAAGACCAGCTTGAGCTAGCTCACGATCTAAATCTGAAAATCCCTGAAAGAAAAATATTGTTTTATTGACATCATCATTTCGTTAGACAAATCTGACAATTTATCAAAAATAAATATTTCTTTAATATCAAGTAAACAAATTATATAAACAATCTGAAAGCATAAGTTTTAATATTGTAGGAAAACTATATGAGCGCAAAGTGTCCTGGAAGCCAAGGATTCAATATTTTCTTTAAATACTTTATACAAAACTTTTAAAAATTTTCCACCTGCGTAATATCTTTAGCTGCAGCAGCCTGCTGTGAATCCATAAATGCACCCCAAGAATTATAAACTTTATTCGCAGCTACACTATCTCCTCTCTGCAGCTAAAATAATAACAATAATACAATAAAAAAGGGGCTGTAAGCGTAATTCCTATTAATCTTACATGCAAAGATGTCAATGCCCGATTCACAGCGTACCTAACTTTAAAGTTTTGTCTGATAAAGTGTATTTCTACTGTAGGGAATAAATAAGAATCATGGACAGAAATAAACCCTTTGAAATCTAGAAAACATCTAGATCGAATAAAGGTTTCATATTTTGCTATATTATTAAGAGCGCTTTCTTATTGAACATTTTTTTAACAGTGTGGGCTAGACCCCCCTCCCCACCCCTTAAAATCAAATATCGCCTCCCCCCCCCCTCACAAAGTGCTAGTTGCGTCACTGCCCGGCTTTATTTATCTAATAGGCTACTCAATGTAAGATTTAATTTCAGGTAAAATAAGTGAGTTTTACTGTGTAAGAGCCAAATCCACGCATAAATGTTTCAATACGCCAAACGAGCCTGTATAAGCTGTTTATAATGATAAAAATGATAAAATAAGGGAAATCATAATTCATAACCAAATAAAATACGCAGAAAAATAATATCATATCATAAAATGTTTACACATAACATTTACATCTTAAAAGCAAAATCCAACAATAATTTAACACTTGTACTTATGTTCGTTTTTTAAATGTAAAATTTTTCCTGACATAATTCTTTTTATCCTTAATTTATCGGCGAATTTCAATTTAAAAACGTTAAAGTGATATAAAGATTGTTGGGAGGGGTAAAATGTCGAATACTTAATGCGTCTAATTTCAATCCAAACTTCTATATTCAGTCGCAGTTGGTAAAATTGTTAGGTTCCGTGTTAATGGCGTTGTATCGAGATTAGATTAGGTTCAGTTAGTTCTACTGCGTATTTAGGTTGACCGGGGGGTAGTATATAAACCAGGGAGGGTCAGGTTCCACCATCAGTTAGAGTTTCTTCACAACAACAATACTAAGGTGAAATAATTAAATATTACTGAGGGTTTCAAACAAATTAAAGTTTAATTAACCTCTTAACGGTATTTCTGCTTTATCTTTATCTTTATTTTATATCAAAATAAAGTTGATTTTAACAAAATTAAACAAAAGTTGTTTAAAAGCTTTTCTTCAATCTTCCCAAAATATTGTATTAAAAATCCATCTATTTTCTTCAGCATGCGACAAAGCCTAATTTTATTTGGCATATATATATAGAAAAAATGTGATTGTCCTCATCAATTTTTTAAAATTTCATTAAATCATATCATGGTTTGTCTTTTTCTAATATGTAAAAATATGTAAAAATAATAATAATGAATTAATTTTCAAGTATATTTCAGGAAAATCCAGGTTCAATATGCCAGGACTAAACGCTAAGCTCAGATCTCTGGATCATGATATTGCTCAGCTCAACATCTGTACCAGAGATCTCAAGAAACTAATTCTGTGCCTAGAGAGTCGGGTTGGAGGACTAGAGGTGAGGAAGGCAACCAATCCTTGTCTCGAGGAGAAGAAATCTAGCATCGAGGGGGAGACAGCAACCCCTCCTCTAGAACAAAGAAAGACCGAGAATACAGATATTCATTTACCAGGATCAGACGAGGAGAAGGAGGAGCAGGAAGCCCCCAGAACAGCTCACGTCCTCATCAAGGAGTACGAGGAGAAGCATCCAACAATAGCCCATACATCCGTTCTCTTCGAAATAATGCCCTGTGATGAGAAGACGGACAAGATGCTGGAGCATGTCAAGAGTATCAACATGGATGGACTCCACTGGGGAGACAGTCGAAGAGAGAAAGTAGCCAATGATATTGAAAAGGTGACCCTGATGTGCACGGTTGAGGACGCAAAAGTATCGATTAGTGAGCTCGCCGAGAAAATGGAATCGTTTAAAGATTTCATTCGGTCTGTTAAAGTTTCGGCTATGAATAAAATCTAGATTGTTTAAATTTGTAGAATATATAATTGCAAATAAAAATGTACACAAAATGTAGTTTATTTTAATGGTAGTAAACTGAGATTTAGTCTTTCAAAATTGTATTGGATGATTTCTTAAAAAAAATAAATTCACCTTTCAGAAAGGATTTTAAAAATTTGACACAAAAATAAAGCTCTAGAAGTATGAAACAAACTGTAAACTCTTATTGTCATGTATGAAAATTATTCAAATAATTTTAAGTCGTCCTTCGAATCTGTTCTTCAACTTAATTCCAGGGGGCGGAAACGTTAGGTGTGTGTGTCTGTACCAAAAGAGTGTGCGTCTGTGATAAAGAACCGAATTGGTGTACTGTCGGTGTATTCAGTACAGAAGAATCTAGGTATTTGTACAGTCTAGGAGAGTACATTTGTTTTTTGTTAATTGTTTACTTAAAAATAAGTTTAATATACATGTAATATATTATTTATAAATATATATCAACACTATAAGCAAAATTTTCATTTTTGATTAAAGTTTATAATAAACTACTCGCTATTCAAGCTTAATTATAATTGACGACATAGTTCTGCAGTCTGCACTTTCATTGACTGTAGTCATGTGTGTGTGTGTCTGTACCAAAAGGATGTGAGTCTGTAATAAGGAACCCGTCTGCAAAGCAGTGCGACTGACTTTCTCATGCCAGACCAGCGCCATTTCCATTCTTTTTATTCTTGTTCCCTGCTTAATTCTAATAACTTCAAGACTCTATTATATTAGGGGTTAATTTGTTAAACTACAGCCTAATCCTTTTATGGTGACATGGAAAAGCCTCAACACGGAAATGTCTCAAAAAACGGGCTCATAAAACTAATTTAATGTCGTCTTCTCTCATTAAAAAATATATTAACAATTATTTTACCATTTATTTAGGGTATGTTAAGTTGCGCCGCAGGCTACGGAGGGGGCCGAGCGCTGCGGCTAGGATGGGCTAGGGGGCCGAGCGCTGCGTCTAGGACAGGCTAGGGGGCCGAGCGCTGCGGCTAGAACATGCTAGGAGAGCGAGCGCTGCGGCTATGGCTGTGAAAATCGTTAGAATATAGTCTTTTTAATTTTAAGTTGAGAGAAGACGACATTAAATTAGCTTTATATTCTGTTTTTTGAGGCATTTCCGTGTTGAGGCGTTTCCATGTCACCCCTTTTATTACCTGGACTAGTATGAAGGCAAGAACAACTCTACCAGCTGCAGCTGCCACCCCTCCCTCGCTGTACAGCTGCAAGGTCTTATCAAGAGCATCAGCTGCTCTGTCGTACTGTTTGACCCGAACCATGAGTTTGCAAGCAGTTTCCATGTGCTGCGCTGCTTCAATTGTTCTGTCTTCCGTTCCCACAGTCTCACTCGCCTAAAAATTGTGCGAATATAAAACATATAAACAGTAAAATTTCATCATTATTATTATTATTAGCAGGCAACCCATCATTCAATGAAATAAAGACGACGCTTCTCGCCACCCAAAGTGTATTTATGGATAAAACGGTCTGCCCAGTTGGTCTGCCCAAGGCAGATTTAAGACTAAATCTCTTAAATTGAATAATAGTATACTAATTATATTAAATATATTAATTTGAATAATAATCTTCATTTATAAATGAAACAACAATAGAAATTTAAATTCTAAAATTGACAAAGTATTTTTAACTAATATTTCATGGTCAACCTCTTCCCCTTTCAGACAAAATTTTTTCATTTTTACCATAATTCAATCCTCATACCTTCTGATAAAGACCAATAGCGTTCTCCGGACTAGATGGTTCTAGAAGTTTCGCAGCTTTGACAAGAAGCTGTGCAGCTGCTTCAGGAGAACCAGCCTGTCTGTACAGTAGTCCACCTCTACCTGCTAGTTCCTCTACCTAAACAATGTATAATGTAGATAATGTATGTTATATTTTCTTGAAAATCGTTTTAGTAACCATCCTTAAATAGAAAATGAACTTCCCCCAGACGATTTTGTGGGAGGGTTTCTTTGCACAATTAGGAAAATTATTGATGTATAGGATAAAATAAATTGATTTTTTGGGTCAAACCTATCAGATCAAATCAGACTCCTAGGGACGTCTTACTTCCATACTTAAAATTCAAGATGACTATACTAATTCAAAGGAGTAAAACAACTTGCTTGTTGATGTACAATTTTTATTCCCCCCCCCCCACACCCCCCTGATCATCGAAAATCAATTACCCCCTGCTCATTTGATACACATTTACCCCTTGTTAATAAAAGTCGGTATTTTTCAGATAAAAAATATATATTTTTATACCTGTGATAAATCGTTTTGTTCTTTAGATATAAAAAGTGCTTGTTCTAACTGTTTTCCAGCATGATAAAGACTACCAGAGTTGGCATATCCTGAACAGTGAACAATCAATGTGTATTTTAATGGGATAGCTCAAGTTTTTTTTCTGCTCGTCAAAAAATAATTTTTTTTAAATCCGTGAGAAGGAAAACCTTGTACCTTCACAAGCTCTGAGATGTGCCTCTTTACAGGACTTCCAGTTTCTTGCAACCTGAAGAGTCATGTATTTATAGTTTAAAATCTAATAAAATATATATTTTTATAGAAATGAAATCTTCATACTCTGACAACCCTAGAATATAATGTTTTAATTTTGTGTATGTTTATGCTTGTGTTGGGTTGTCTCCAAGGACCCTATCTACGGGTATTAAAAGAGAATACAGATTATTTCATGATAACAATCAAACTTTATTCGTAACGATTTTTAAGGCTGCCTTTTTTGTTTTTTTTTTTCCTATGAATCTTATCATTCTTTATGTAGATATTTTAGTATTTTTGTTCTTTACTTTTTTAAAAAACTTTTTTTCGTATTTTTTTGCCTTTGACTTTTTTTCGTAACACGTAAATGAACAATAAAGTTGTAGAGTAAAGTGCGACTTTATGTTTGATGTGCGTAATTAAAATAAAGATAGGTTCACAACACTGAATGACCTGCAGATCCAAATTGGACAACAAACGAGTTAATATGTAAAGAAGCAATGTTGCACAAAACGTATTTTTCTTAAAGTTTTGTAAATTAAGTTTCTTCATATTTTGTTTCCTTATGACTGTTAAGTGTAATTAAAAATGTTGTATGATTTCTCTTTGAAATTTCGCGAGTTTTTAGTTTAAAAGCTAAGATTTTCATTTCACGAGCTGAAGTCTCAAGATTCAGAAAAACATATAAAAATCCTTTCGTTTTCAGAAAATCAAAGCTCATATCTAAATGATCTAAGTTAGATAAAAAATTGGGTTTAACACATTTATGTGCTTCTAAATAGACAACCAAGATAGGTATGAAAACCGATGTTTGTGCGAGTATAGAAATAACTATGTTTTTAGTGATAACTTTTAAAAAACAATTGTTATTAAGGTTCTCAATTTTTGAGTCTCTTTCTAAATGATAATAAGGTATGCTATATCCAAGTTTGAAAGTCATAGGCCAACTCCTTAGTTGCCTAGACACTGCCTGCAAACCATCCCCAAACAAGCTGAATATAAAACTTTTAAGTGCTTTTATATAATTAATGGGTGAACATCTGTACATTTTTGTAATTAAATAAAGTAATTAAAAATTTTCACTCATAAAGATATTTTCTTCATCTTTCATGACATGATTACATTTATTAACAGTATAGTATATTCTATAGAACCCTGCAGCTCCAAATAGGGTAAAGCTTTTGCCTGGGACTGTCTTTGCTTTCTCAACAGCAGTCCTAATGCTTCTGATAGCAATGCTGATGCTTCTGGTAGCAGCCCTGCTGCTTCTGGCACCATTTCTAGTGCTTCTGGTGGCAATACTGGAACTTCTGGCAACAGTCCTGGTGCTTCTGGTGGTAGTAATGATGCCTCTGGTAGCAGTCCGGATGCTTATGGTAGCTGTTCTACTTTTTCTAGCAGCACTCCTGAATCCTGATGCTTCTAACAGCAGTTCTGATGTTTCTGGTATCTGTCCTAACACTTCTGGTAGCAGTGTCCTGGATCCTGGTGCTTTTGGTAGAACTCCTGAGGCTGATGGCGTTTCCCATGCCAGATCAGTCAGTGAGCTTTTAAAGATTAAAAGAAACCTGGCTTTGTTTGAACTCCAATATTTGGATCTCCAGCAAAATAAAGATTTTCAGAAGGGAAAAGTTTTGGGCCATTACTTATTGCATGCTTGGTATACGAAATGTTGAGGAAAGTTGAGAGCTAATACTTCACCATTAGTCATGCCCTAACTTGCGGCCAGCAAGAAGTGGGCCATAACCTTCCAGTAGGTCTTAAAAGATGGAATATATTGGGAAGTTATCCTAGAAGGAAGGGGAGAGGGAGAGAGACTACAAGGTGTCAAAGCAAGAGGTTGTGAACGAGGTCGGCATAGAGAGGCAGCTGAGCTGGCCCTGCTACGATCAAAAGAGGTTCCCCTGCTATAGATGAGCTTTCTTTCCCCATAAATTGATTTTTGTTTGATTTTTTCTCTAATAAAAATAGAAATTGTACAGCAAATTTTATTTCTTGAGAAGTTCTTATTTTGAAAATTTTTTATTTTGCATTTGATACATTGATAAAAGCGAAAATAAAAAATATTTTTAAGGATAAAATTATTTTTCCAAGGGGAAAATTGGATACATTATGAATTTTTGCATTATTATTTTAGTTTTAGCTTTTTAGTTTAATTATTTGGACTAACATATCTTCCCATCCTTGCACTTTAGTCACAAACTAATGTTATAAAATTTTCGCAAATTAAAGTGTGTTAAATATTGTATCTATAAACATTTTTCAAGGTTGCATTGTTATTCTTTAGTTGATGATTACAGATATTTTATCATAAATGCGCACAGATTATTACAGTTACTTGCACAATTATCATAATTAAACACATCATGGAACCTTTAGATTAAAACTCTAATAAATCGCAAAATTTAAGTTTGCAAAAAAAGATTTTGCCAATATGTGTTTTTTATTACTTGCTTTAAATGAATTAACTGTAAAAAGTTATGCTATAATGCTCTTAATGGGTTTTATTTAAGATGAAAAATTAATAATCTGAAAAATATTATAAAGGCACACTTTGCTCAACACATCAAATATAATATGCCAATCATGTTATACAATTCTAGCTCAGTATGATGAATATTTATCCAGTTCACGGATCGTTGGTCCTTTATATTAACAGGAAAAGAGTTCCATTCATTGTTCCTTTTATTTGAGTATGATTTGGAACCAACCAAATTGTGATGAAATAAGACAGTCTAGTAGCTAAGCATTATCTCCCATAATGTTGAACCAGGTTGTATTCTCAACATTGTCAACTCTGTATAAAATCTTGTAAACTTGAATCATATTCTTGTTCTCTCTCATATCCTCAAATGAGAGAACATTAAGTTCTCTTAATTTTTCTTTATAGGATGAGTCGTCCAGAGATTGCATTTACTGCTCTTATTTTGAACTTTTTCGAGAATCAAAATTTAGTTTCGATGATGGGGGGGGCTATGCAGATGAACAGAACTCAAGATGGAGTCTCACATGCTGCTTATAGGTTTAACCATACTCTCTTGTCCCTTAAGTGAAAAGCTCTTAGCAGCTTTCTAGTACTAGGCTTCCAGTTTTTGCTGCTTCTGTGCACATTGTCGACTTGACTTGAGGGAATAGGGAAAAAATTCGGATCCTTGAGATAAGGACATTTTTAATTTATCTCTTTTTTAACAGTTTGCTTTTGGGTTTTGAGAGCAAAAATTTTATGTTTGCAGCTTTAGGTTGATATTTGATATTTTACCCCTTGGATCCGGATCCAGATCCAGAAAGCCAAAATGTTGCGGATCCAACGGATCTTGATCCATAACCATACAAGGTGTAGTTTTAAAGTAAACAGAGTTAATTTGAGAAAAATAGAAAACAATGCAAATGTTGATTTCATATTTCATATTTATCACTTGATTTTCCAATAAATTCATGAATATTTGATCAATGACAAAACTAATTATTGGTTCATTTTACTAGAGAATTGATTTTATCATCTTTACCTTGAAACATACTGCCGCTTTATTCAGCTCGTCGGCGGCCGAGTCCCAGTCAGGATTGAATTTCAGTTTTAAATATGAAGTCTCTAAAAACAACCAGATCTTAGATATTGTAGAAAAGTTATTTCTCACAAGGTAGTATTTGATTATTTCTACGTCTTTATTTCTCTCAATTTAAACAAGATCTGTGTTGATTCCTAGATATTTGTCAGCCTTTGCAAGATGTTCGAATCCTTCCGCGTTCTTCCGTTCTTCTATAGACATGTTTCTGAAGAGGAAAAATATTCCAATATTCATAACAATAAACAAGATGGGGTAAAAATATAAATAACAGGGCGGGAAATAAATAACATCAAAAAGTGGGATTAGGCGGTGAAAAAAAAATATCACTGGATATAATTTTTACTTAATTAGTGAAAATAAGGCTTTCATGAAGTTTTCATAAGCGTTCAGAATGAAAATAAAAACCAAGAGAGGGATACTTGACTCTTTTTAATTGAGTTTTAGAAGTGATATCTTTCACGAATAAATTTGTATCTAATTTGACAATATGATAATGCCATGGTACAATGGTTGATGTACATATTACATGTACATATGTACACAACAGCCTGGAAAATTGTACATAAATGTAACAGAGGAATGAGGATTTATAGCACAACAAATAGACCAGAATATAACAAGATAAGTATTAATTTAGTTTTGACAAAAAGTTGCATAGAAACCACCATCAATTATTAATGCTTAGTGACAAAAGCACTAGGTGCACGCTTAAAGCATTAACTTGAAAGCTAGAACAATTTAAAAGCAGAGATATTAAGATCTAAAACGTGAACTATTCAATTGCTGAACCTTTGAGCCATTTCTTATTTAAAGATGGCTCTAATGGTTAGCTCTAAATTCAACCAAAATGAATGCATGTTTGGCGCCATTTCTTAATTAAAAACGTGAAAATTCCAACTGGAAGATTTCTTCGACGAATAAAGATTGAAAATGGTCTGGTTTGAAATTATCATCTTTAACGGACGGTTAGATGAGTAAAATTTAAATATAATAGCAATAACGTGGAAATTTATATGAGAGAGGATGATAATGATTACAAACAGTACAAGAGAAATGGAAAAGGCGCAAATATTACACAGCAGCTTGATGATACTAAACTGACCGCGGCACACTAGCTCAGAAAGATTGTATAATTCATAATTTCACCCTGTTAGTGTTCAGTGTTTATGCAATAAGCATGCTTCAGTCAACTTAGTAATTACATCAAGAAGCCAATATAACTTTAATATTAACTATATCACATTGAGTAATAGGAAAATATATAAATTACACCAAAAAGAATTAAAAAAATAATATTTCCTAATTGAGACTACGCAACTTTTAACTTTGATACAGACCAAGGGACATAATGATTAAAATGTGTTTAATACATCTTCAAATTTAACGTTATTTCCAACTTAAAAATCATTCCTAATAAAGTGAATAATATCCATTATCTCACTATTTAAAATAAATTGAATGCTGAATTTAGTCAAATGTCCCTTAAATCCATATAAACAGCTCTAGAGTCTATGTTGGTATCTACGTCATCTCAACTCCTAGTTTAACTCTTGCTCGTTCATAAACCCAATAGGAGATAGATACTGCAGGAGCTACCTTGCAGAAGTTTGGTATCAATCCTCGGTATAATCCTTTTATACCTTCAGTTCGAACTATATGCCTGAAAAAAGGATATTTATATAAAATCAGTATAATAAATAAATAAATAAATAAATAAAACAGTCACCCTTCAATCCATGGGATATTTAGGGAAGAGCCTATGTCACGGCACTACCATTGGTGGAAAACCGAAAAAAGCAGAATCATATCTTCTTTCTGCTTTAACATTGAGCCAACTAAAATTTTACAAAGAAAAACGTAGAATAAGATATGACCTCATCAAACCTACAAGATATTGTCAGGAATCGACCAGGTAGACAGCAGTATATGGTTCAGAACAGTAGGATTAAATGCACATCGAATAACACGCACAACAGCTTATTGCAAGAACCTGATTCCTAACAGATCTAGGACTGATGTGAGACATAATTTTTTCTCCAATAGAGTTGTTAACTCATGGAATAGACTCCCAACAGAAGTAAAGGAAGCTAGGACGCAGAACTCATTTAAAAAATTGCTCGATATGACAGACTTTTAACCTTTATGTTTGTGCCAGGAGGAGTGAGCTACGACCCTACAGCGTGACCTCTACAAGATGACCGGATCACAACTCCAGATGATACTACCGAAATTCCCCTCATGTTCCTACCTGGAGCTCTGGGAATAATCCATCAAGTAAACGAGTAACTATGCTAAAAGATAGAAATGCTCTCCACTAAAGTTATTTATGTGATAATATAACCAGTATGTATGGTTGAGAACCTTTTCATGAACCACTAATTACAGATAAGCGCGCCGACTGCCGCGCACTGGGTATAAAAGGGGCTTTGAACTAACAATATCAATTCACTGTACCCCTGACCACAAAACAAAAAATATCCTCATATTGTATAAGCTCTATTAAAAGGTAACCAAATGGATAATAAGAGATTAGAAAGATATAGCTATCATAGAAAAACTTAAGTTTTGTTATTAAAATACTTAAAAAAATATCAACAAGGTTTTTAGTGGAATAATTGCGACTAGTCATGTCATTCAATTTATCAATCAATCAATTGTTTTCTAAATACATAACACTTCAAATTCCCATTAAATACACACAACAGTTTATCCCTAGTTTCTGGAGTGAGTATATGGAAATTCCCTCCTCACTACTCTACTCCCTGAGCTGAGGGAGTAAATGGTAGGACAACAATTATACTCCCGATCTACTTCCAAGGGAAGAATTATGTATTAATAAAATAGGAGATATTTACCTAAAGAGACCAATAGCATGAGTTTGCTCGTACGGTAGATTTAAATTGGTTCCGGCCTGCGATTGTAGTTTGGTCCTAATAAGCGCACATGGGTAAGCTGCCAGCTGACCGCAGCAGCTGCTAAACGTGCCGCAGAGCAGTAACACGACACTACCTGGCTGCTTCTTAGGTTCACTTGGGTCATAAGTTCTTTCAAGCCAGGTTTTTTTAACGGTTTCATAAACAGCCAAATCAATGCCTGCGTAGGGTATTATTCCGAAGAGATTCGGCCAGTATCCTCGATACAACCCCCCGGATTTATAAATCTTATACGCACAATCCCACATTCCTGAATACTCTCCCGTACGTCGGAGGAGCATTCGCGTTTTCATCACTTCTAGAGGATATATCACAGTCTGCGCCGTGGCGCCTGCCAGACTTCCGGCCCATAATCGTTCGTAGATCGTTAACTCACGATTGTCAGACCCTTTTATCCACTTTTTTATTTCCTCATATGAGCCAAACTTGAGCGCAGATTCTGGCGCAATTTTGATAACGTTTAGTAGGTTTCCCCTCCACAGACCCATAACTCCTCCCTCCTTCAGCATGTACTTCACTGTATCTATTATATTTAAGGATTTTCTAGCTCCGTGAACCTGTAGCATCACCTTTAACCTGGTTTAACATTACAAGCTAGTAACAAGAACGGCGTCAGACAGGGATTCTATGAGGGGAACCTAGTTTAAATTAAGTAGCAAATATTACAATTATTAAAGGAAAGATCCATGGGGGGGGGGTGAAAAATAGCACTTTCACTTTTAATATATTTTATTTTGAAATATCATTAATTTCCCCTAAAATCCTATTTTTCGATAAACTAAATAGTAAATACCCCTGGATATAACATACCAAATGAATTAATTTAATTAATAATAACTAATTGATTAATTGATAGCTAGCTGTATATCCCTGTCTAGAGGAGCAGTGAATGTTCTTGATACAGCGCCAGCTATTGCACCAGATACTAGATGCCGCCACCAGATACCTCCGATTAACCGATCAGACAAACCAGCTAGAACAGAAGAAGTAAAAACATTATACATGATCAAGTATTAGAGGAATATATTAGAGAAAGGTCGTAGTCATATTACTGAAACGTATTAGTGAAGCAATAAATTTAAAAGAATATGATTCATAAATAAAAATTCAAAAAAATGTTGATAAATAAAGACAAAATTAATAATGAACTATTATCGTTATTAGTATTAAAATGTTGTTAATTGTTAGGAGTGTTCAAAGCACAATAAAAAGCTAAGGATGTAAAAAATGTCAAAATTTTTAATTTAAAACAATAAAACAAAGATATAAAATTTTAATCAACTTAATTTTCAGTTTGAGGGAAAATGCTAAGCAAACATTTTTTTATTTTCCCCCCTTCCCAAAAGGACTCTATATATGCAACAATTAAATTATTATAATTTGTTACCCTATAAGGTAGAGGAAAAAGCATTTAATAAAAGTTTACCTAGCAAACTTAAAAATGATGTGGGAAAAAATATGAGCATGCCTGATGTTAAGTAAGAACAAAACAAAAACAAAAAATGTTAAATTTTGCCAATTTGTGTTACACGGTAGACACTCAGAGGCAGTGTTCACACTGGGTCAGAGGTACATATTTCAAAATGACGTATGTAAGAGTACGTTAAAGCACGTGTGCTATAGATTTTTGATTGGTTCCCGGATTTAACACTGCGAAACAAAATAACAGTGTTATAAAACTTGTTTTTACGATTCCCATAAGGGACAAGTGACCACTAAAAATTTGTGTTTTAGAAGGGGGTGGGGGGGGGGGGGGTTTGTTTATTTAACTAAGCAAAACACGGAATTTTAATTTTTAACTGGCAAACTTTTCTTCCCAAGTCCCCAGCCCTATCCTCCTTCACTGTATGTGTTAAAAACTCCCCCACTCATCGTTTTTACCCTAAACTTAATTTATTTCACTCTAAGATCTTTCATTTCCCCAAAATAACATTTATTCCCCCCCACCACCAAAAAATATTCCTTATTAAATGTATCATTTACTCTCAGACAAATTAGAATCAATGGAAATTTGTCTGAGAGTAAATGACATTCCTTTTTAAAGAGAATACCAAAAAACCAGCTTTTTATAAAGAAATGATTTTTGAAGAGGGAGAGGGGGAATAATATATCAAGTAAATACACACTCTTGTAATAATATTTAAATCTTTATCTATTCTAAGGATCTACAATACTATTTCCTCGTCTATATTTGAAATATATACCCCTATAATCAATACCTGAACCACTCATCACTTTGGAAAGGACAAAACTCGGCAAATCTATTCCAAAATATTCCTTAGAAGTGTACATAGTTTCAATTTAATTCTATTGTTGTATGGAATTCTTAAGTTTAAAGAACAAATTTTTGCTTCTTAAGTCTTAAACATAAATACTTTAACTGATAAAACTAATTCAATTTCTAGAAACGACCAGAAAATTGAAGAAAATAAATCAGAGCTGGGAACTTTAGAATGGTGGATATCAGGATTAATGCTTAATCCTCTGTTTTTGCTAATCTCGAGACTAACATAATCTCGAGATTATTTTAGTCTTGAGATTAAATATCTAGATCAACAAATTGGATTCTAAGAACGCCAGATTGGTTCGTTTTCCTGACTGGAAGGGCCTTCAATTAATTTCTCACCCATTTATTTATTGATACATTAGTTAAAATTTGTTACAAAAGAATCTCAAACGTATTATTAAATATTTGTCTTCACCGATTAATATACAAAATGGCCGACAACAAATTCTTGATTTGTTAGAAATTGCGGATTTCTCTCATGGGATAGAATTTATTTTCAAGACTGTCATTGGTCAATGAAATTTACGAACTATATTCCTGAACTCTCATTGAAGAAAATAATGTACGGGTATCCAAAGAGAGAGAAAAAGAGTGGATTAAGGACTAAAATTAAAATTTTCCACAGTTGATATTCGGATTAAGTAGTTGGGATTAAAGGTTATCCATTCTAAAGTTCCCAGAGCTGAAAACTTTAGAATGGGATATCCTTAATCCCGATCAGTTAATTAATCTGGATATTAATAACAAGAGGAGAACAAGCATTATTTAATCTAGAGATTAAGAAAAAAGAGTGGATCAAACATTAATCCCGATATCCACCATTCAAAAGTTCCCAGCTCAACTCAGGAAACTTTACAACTTTACTTCTGAATGAATACAGCACAATAAAACGTACAATGTAAACAGAAACTGGAAGTAAAATTATTTCTCGATAGTCCTAGTCCGCACTCTTTTAAAATAAACATAACCCATACTCAGCTAGAATTGACTGGTACCAGAGAAAAAACAAATTGAAAGAAATTAAACATTCGAGTTGAATAATACTTATTTTAGGGAATTAGTGGAAAGAACAATATAAATACAAGAAAATCCAGTAGAGACATATTGTCATATGGCTTCAAAGTTTTAAAAATTTTAAAAATTATTTCGGCTTTCCATTGATGAAACGAATGATCATGCGAATTAAAAGTGGTAAAAAAGCTTGCAATGACAAATTTCGATTTTCAGTTTCCATTCAGTAAAAAAAAAAGATTCCCCACCACCCATCACCCTGGAATAGGGTTGATTTGAATAAAAAAAAATAAAAAAAATAATAAACAATTGAAAACGAGAAAAGAGAAAATTCAATGTATATGACATTTCACTTGAGGGAGGGTCCATTAAATACACCTTAGTACTTTTAGCTATCTATACTTAAAAAAATAGATTTTCTATGTATTGAAATAGAATGGAAAAAGAAGAATAATTGTATAAAAAGTAAATTGCAAAGTTAAAAAAAACAAAGCAGAAGAAACAGAAGAATGGGTTTAGTTAAAATGTAAGCAAATATTACTCCATTTAACATAAAATCTATTTATTGTTTCTTTACATTATCTGAATACTTCAAGAAATGTGCCTTATAGACCCCGCGGTCTTCTTCTAATTAATTCTACAAGTATTCCAATTAAGTATTGTAGTTATTTGCTTTGTTAATTTTTCTTTTAAAAAAATAGTGCAACACCAGAGAAGAATAAAAGCCTTAATCCATTTGAGACAGAAGAAAAAAATGTACAATAAAAATTAAAATTATTTATTGAACCTGGGACTAGGTTTTCCTCCGTGTCTTCCTCGTATACGTCGTCCATCCAGTACTCGACAACCTCCTTAATGTCGGAGCTAGGGTGGAACATGAGGTAGTCCCGCCACTCCTCGAAGGATATGTCCAGGGAACCATCATCGTCAATTCGAGCGACAAGCTCGGTAGCTTCTTCCTCACTGAAAAAATTAAACAAAATAATATTTTTTCATGAAGAAAGAAAGTTGAAAAAAGGAACATATATGAGAAATAAAAGCAGCTGAATCCGATTTTGATTTAAAAAACAGCAGTTTTACCGTTTTTGCTTTGCTATAGATACTTTGAAAGCCAATTGTTTAGAACTAAAATCTACTTATACAGAAAAGATATTTCTTATATTTCAATTTTTACTATTACTATCATTAGACATTTTTTCCATCATGAGAATACATATAAAAATATAATGTTATTGGAAAAATATGTTGATTTGATTGTCATCATTTTAATATTTAATGAACATTAAACATCATTGTTTTAAATATTATTTAGATCTGGATCCGGGATCTGTCTTAAAAAAAAAATGGAACCGGTTCTTGAATATTTCTTAAAGTTTTGCAAAGTATCTTGTTTATTTTTCACTTTTATTTTCGTTAAAGATACCTCGTTGGTTGACACTAAATATGTGTCTTTTGANACGCTATCCACTTGATTACGGATCCGGATTCAGAGAGTTAAATCATTGCGACCCGTATAGTACTGCTATTAGAACAATTTTCATTGTAATCACTGACCTGATCTGAATTCCCATTTTCCTGAAAGCGATTTGGATTTCTGAGCCAGACAATCTCCCGTCCTTGTTCGTGTCCAGCGTTTTAAACATAGACCTAGAAATTAATAATTCAACTATTGCTTTTTTATTGTGTACTAGCTTGGGAACCCAGCAATGCCCAGGATACTAATAATTACTCCCGCCGTTTACCCGCACTTGGGTCTAAAATTACGTTTCTAGCTATTTTTCCCTATAAGTCTACTTTGACTTAACTTAGAATCTCAAAACCAAGCAAAGAACATTTCCATGGTTCTCCCGAGTTCCCTAATCAAAACTTAAGACAAATTTACAAATTTCTGTACTTTATTGCTCCTCAATTTCGAAAATAAATATATAAGTACGCCACATGAAGCGATAGAAAAAAATTGATCAAATTTGCCATGCAATTTAATGTAATGTTCATGATTTAAGATCGGACATACAAACATACAGAGATTACTACTTTATATATAGAGATTTCTGGCTTTGGAAACTCCCCCCCCCCAAAAAAAAAAAAAAACTTACATTAATTGTTTTTCATGCATTTCTAGATGCTGAACAAACTCTTCGATTGTCAAATTACCACTGCTATTCAAATCAGATTTCTTGAGGAACAAATCTATCTGATCCTAAAAATCAAAATTAAATTAAACTCAGGACGTTTTTTCATCTTTCCAATCTTCAAGTGACACAAATATTTGAATTGAAAAATTATCAAAATACCAATGTTCGCTTTCCTGGATCTTTTGAAAATAGTTTCAGTATTTTAGCAGAATTAGTCCGCTTCATGCTTTGTGAGGGAGAAAAATATTCGAGAAAAATATTCGATTCAAATATTCTAAATTTGCTTAATTATTATTCAAATCTATATTTGGGTAGATATAAACAACATAAAAAAAACATTTAAAAAAATAAACTCATTTATGTGCGAGGCGTTACGATTCATAAAATAACATTCAAAAGGTTTATTTTAATTTTAGTTAAGCTATATTTACCTGTGAGAGATGTGTATACCCCATACTGAACAGTCCAGTAGTTAACTCTTCAGCATCAATTTTACCATCTTTCTTAACATCTAACTGCTCGAATAAACTCCTAAATATTGATAATTTTTAATAATACCCATTCAACCGTAATTAAAATTGGTTGCTTATCCAATATTCACGGGAACAAAAAACGGGACAAGACGTCTTTTTGACGGGCACCCGGCACACGAATGTTTACAGTTTATCACCCCTACCCACAAAATGTTCTATATATTAATTCTGAGTAGATGGATCACATTCATCATAGGGCAGGCATGATAAGTTGTTATGTACTGCAATGCGCAAATGAGGGTAGACGACGCCGCAAAGCCCACTTAACCTTGAATAGTGGTTGTAACTTTGATATTAAAAGTTTCAAACATCCCCCTCTACCCATTCTTATTTCATAGATACCTATAAAGCTCTGTGTCCGTGGGTTTAGGAGACGGCGGAGACATATTATCCGCTCCGGGCGGAGGTCCTGGTTTAGGCGGTAGCTGAGGTAGTATCTCCGGCCCAGGCGGTGGCGGAATCTGTGGTAAAATTTCCGAGGTTTTATGTAGCCCGGCTATTGATGACATTTTGAACTAAAGGTCGCAGTGTACTTCATCTAGTGCTCTAATGTACAGTGTACACCTCTGAAAAAAAATAAACAATAATCAACAACAAAATTAGGATCGCTTGGCCACGACTCTGTCTTGAAATAAATCCGAAACTTTTTAAAATAATAATTGGAACAACTGAAACTAAATCCCTAGTAAAAATGGCCCCGTGAAAATACTTTGTTTATGCATTAGACAATGCGAAGTTTGTACTGCCACAGAATTTAATCTGGAGAGTTGTTTAGGCATCAAGGATATCATCCCCCTGATCCTTCTGCAGACCTGCATCTTACAAACCAATGACGAAACCTTGGCCATCACGTTTTCAACCATTCGTTTCCAGGATTTTCTCTTTCTATGTTAATGTTGATAAATTCTCAGATAAATATATCTAAAATGACCACCTTGAGTTTGTTGATAAGATATTGACGATTTTTAAATTTACAATTTTAATCCTGGTTTACATTGGTTTCCTTGTTTGTGCTGTTGAAATCATAAAGTAAAGATAAAAATAAAATAAAGAAAATAATAATAATTTAAATTAAAAAACTAAATAAATAGACAAAATAATTAAAAGTGTGAAAATCAACTTAACATTACTTGACACACTGCATGATTAAAAGTTAAAACTGTAACAAAAAATTGTACTTCAAAATTTGTACTTTGAGACAAAACTACCAAAATTACATCTTACATCAATGCTTACTTTCCATGTTTAGTTGTACAGTGTACAACTTTCTTGGGCTCTCAAATTCCTTACCAGGAAATTGCGAAATGCAAAAAACGCATACATAGAATTTCACATCACAGGGAGAACAAAAGAAAACATTAAGAATGAACCCTTGCAACCTAGATATAAAAAGTTGTTCTGTTCTGTTTCAGAAAGCGAAGCTTTCAATTTTAAAAATGCTTAAATTTTATCAATAAATAAATACATAAATAAAACTCAAACATCAAATATTTACTTTCCATGTTTAGTTGTACAATGTACAGTGTACAACTTTCATGTGAAACCTCCATGCTCTCAAATTCCTTACCAGGAAAATGCAAAATTAAAAAAAAACACACATACAATTTCACCACAAAGTGAGTGCACCCTTACCACCTGGAAATAAAAAGAAAACTGTTCTGTTTCGGAAGACGATGCATTGAATGTTGCAATTTAATAAATGATGAAAATATCAAATGTCTGACAATATCGGAAAAGGCTGATCTCTGTTTACTCTATACAGCGGCATTCGGGCTGCTGTACACAACAAATTGATACAACCACAGTCCATGTTTTTCATTTAATCCTTACCTCCGGCCCCCTCCACATTCTTTGTTCTATATTTCATTACGAGCATTTAACAGTGTAACACTGCCACCTCTAACCCCCCCCCCCTCTCCTATTTTGCATATTTACCTAATCTAACATCAGCTGATTTCTTGTGAAGAAAGCATTGATATTCTGAAATGTAAAAAATGTTAAAAAATAACTTCACAACTTTATCACAAAAAAATAATTTTAAAAAATAGGCACAAATGTACACAAATTTTCAATAATGAAATTTACATAATACAATTATAAAATGTAAAATCTTAAGCAAAGTTTGCAACCGTGGACCCTGCCGACTCAGTGGACAGAGTGGACACCATACCCCCGGTCTCCGTCTCAAAACTGTCGATCAATTGATGAACATCATTCTCTGCCTCCTCTGCCTCCTCTACCTCCTCCACCTCCTCTTCTTTTTTGTCATCTACTTCCTCACAATCATCAGATTCCTACACAACAAAGAATATGATCAAAATGTAGTGTACACTGTACATTGTACAATGTATTATATAGTGAACACGCATTGTATTATTATATACACTATACAGTGATATATACTATTCAGTGATCGGCGATTATATCAATGCAATTAAGTAAACAAAGACAAGCTGTTTTTGACAATTTCTCTTTGTTCAAATGTTTAAAACATTGATCTTGTTGAAAAATAGGAGACGAACCAATATTTTGAAAATCTCATAAGACGAACGACCCTTTCTGATACACTGACATTTTTTATTATTAGTGTTAGTAAGAAAATGGACATAATCATACCTGAATTTGTTTCTTGTTAAACCAAGATGCGTATTTGAGAACCTCCTTGACCAGTTTATACATGTACAATACATTACTGCAAATTATGAACACATAATAGATACATATTATGTACACAATTCCAATCATAAAAAAGGGGATTCAGAATTTTTGTTCACTGCGAGGAAATAAAAAACCAAAATAACAAAAGATTTAAGGTTGAATTGTGCAATGGCATTTAGGAAAATATTAAAATAACACAGATTTTAAATTTAGTCAGCTCTGTTAATACAAAGATTTCTTAGATGACAACAAAAACCATAAAAAGATCAAAAAGTAAATAAAAAAATGAAGATTGAGCAATGGGCAAAATAGTTGTTTTTAGATACAAATGTGGTAAAAGTTAAACTAAGAAACCTGTTCTACGCAATGTTTTCATCATCTCTAATACGCAATTTTATGCTTGAAAATAAAAACTGCAACTATCTAGATTATATAAACTAGTTCAGAAACATGGCCTGGGGTAATATAAACAATGACTTAAGTCCACAAATTCTAACACTGAACTTTATTTTGTTAATGATTTAGGGGTTTTATATTAATTAAGGGACTGTACACGTAATTTCAAGTGAGCCTTAATTTCAACACAATGTCCGATTATCAATGGTACTGTACAGAACCTCTATATGAGTTTAAAAATTAAGCATCTGAATAATTTACCAGCTAAATACAATGCCCTTTCTATTTTACAATTTTACAATTTCCGGATCTAATTAAGCAGGACAAACTTAAATCTATGCACTATGTCAGACATTGATTTCCATCTTTGGAGTCTAAAACTAAAGAATGCGCGAATTTTAAGTTCGAGGTTAAAAGTTATGTAAAATAATGAATAGCTACTTAAATATTAAACTTTCTCAATTTTTAATTTGAATTTCCCGGGAAAAATCTGAACCAATCAGAGAAAAGGATTTACGGAGTATTATTACGTAAGTATCGGTATTATCAGCTGTTTTCTTAAATTTTAAATTATTTACGTAACGGAAGACAAAACATATTTCCAGTTACAACAGTATTTTGGGTTTACATGCAAACATTAATAAATCTAAAACGTGAAATTCATGTAATCGGTTTTTACTTCTAAATATATCATAATTAGTTGGATGCCGCTTACCACTGAATGATGATAGACAAATAGGGATTGCGGGATTTCAAGATTTTAACCACATGGTTAAAGTTCAGGTTTAAATTAAATCAGAAGAGGCATTTAACCATGAACTTAAAATTTAAGTCAAAACTTTTCGTTCTTTAGTTTTAGACTCTGGTTAATTTAATCTAATCCCTTAATAACCCGTAGTGGTATTACCCAGCAGGGATAATCAAAATGAAGGGATTTAGTATTGATAAGTGAAGACATTTGATTTCGAGATCAAGTATTCAAGATAAAGAATACTCGGCACAAAGGTTTTGACCTCTGTTGAATTTAAATTTGTGCCAGTCTCTTAGATTTGAATAGAAGAATATTTGAATATATGAGGGTCTATCTTGAGAAAGTTGTATTCTACGTGAACTATTTTGATACGGTTAGTTTGACAAATATTTTCATAAAATTAAAAACTTTTGTGGGCAATAGTCCAGAACAAGATAAAAAACATGAAATTGTCAACTTTGATGTAAACAAAAGATATTCGAGTAAGAAAGGGGGGGGGGCCACAAAACGTATTACTCTCCGGAAAATTTAAACAGTGTTTAAACATAACTTAGAATTGTCGTAGGAGGCTGATTTTTTGTACAATTAATTTAGAAGATGAGCGCGAAGCGCCCTCTAAGGCTAGTATCCTTAAAAACAAGAACAAGAAAAAACACGATATTAGGCATCTGCAACAATCTTATCTAATCCTTATAATTAATTTTGGATTGGAAAAGGGTGAACAAAATAAAGGACAAAAAGGTAGATAATATTGTATATGAATACAAGTATATTCCTGGTGTTTGCTACCAATATGAGAATAGTAGTTTGTAGATTTGAGGGACACGCTACAGGTAGGGCAGTTGAAGATGACCGGCGGGTTCACACCAGGTATATTGAACTCCCGCCGGAGTTCACGCCGATAGTGGCTGTTCGATAGATGACTAAACAATGTATCATTGTGATCAAATATTTTAACATGGGCTAAAAAAGTAGAGGTGACAATTTCAGGCAAATTATTAATATTAAGAACAAATAATAAAGCAGCTTGGCAGTAGCCATTGCCATATTTTTCTTGAAGAATCAACTTATTTTTTGTTTTGTATTTCCTTTTATTATAGCTTTCATTGAATCATTTTAGTATCCTCAGTGTGTGATAATTTTAATTTCTAGTTTGAGCCTGTGATACTTTACTAAAAAAGTTTATAAAACTAAGAAAATAAAAAAAATGTTGATACCTGAGAAAGGTTTTAAATCCAGCTTTGTTAATATTACAGATCTGGCAATAAAAAAGGGTTGCTCTTGTCTGCTTGTTTCCACGACCAACACTTCTCTGATAGAACAATAAATTTATTTACTTTAGTGAACAAAATGTTAACGGGGATGGGCGAGGGGGGGGGGGAATACAGTACACACTGCACCTCTGCTTTTTATTATTCTTATATGTGCGCCACTCTATTATGGTCACTGACTTTCCAGCATTTAAAGGGAATGACTTGCTAGACATGGTGAACTGAAAGTGCAGTATTGTAGTGATTTGTAGTATAGTAGTATTTGATACTAATGAGACATTTTTACGTTGTACAATTTTTAAATAAGAGCGAAAGTCGTTAGTAATATTTCACCAGTGTTTCAGTCAGAAGAAGAAAGTTTTTTAAACTTCTTAAATTTTCTTGAAAAAACATGACTGAATGAAATGTTCTGGATTTGTACCAGTAATAATAATAATCATAATGATAATCGCAGCCAACCCTCATCCTTTAAGAAATAGGCTTGAGTTCCCTTGCATTTAATAAACCAACTCAGTCAAAACTTCATGACGGTTTTCCACGGGCCTGTGGTCCTATCGGTATTCTGAGGTGTTTAAATAGTTTATTGGATAATGGCCGACTGCGATTTTTGAACTGATTTTTCACCCACCTGTTATCGGTTGCTTTCCTTTAAAGGGAGTGTTCGCGAAAAATGAAAGGGGGTATAGGCTGAATGCGATAAAAAAAGCGCTTTTGATCGCTAATAATCTTACTTATATCTGTTGCGTCTATAAGGAGAAAATTGTTAAAGACGTCTCATACCGAATAACTTAGCGCCCATACAAATTCAGAAAATTGCAACATACTACTTAGACCGTAAAAAAATCAATTTAATTTCATGCAAATCATTCAGATATTACAACCTGTAGTCATCGATTATCTTTCGCCACATTTGTATGTATAGTTTATATTTTATATATGTTTTAATTAATTTGTTTTGAATTTGATTATTTCTCAATTGTCGCTTGCGCAACTATCTAAGAATGCTGCGCACCACTCACATTTTTCGAAATCCGTTAAAACGTTTTCTAAAAAAAAATAAAATATTACAAAATATAAACTATATACAAATGTGGCGAAAGATAATCGATGACTATAGGTTGTAATATCTGAACGATTTGTTTGAAATTAAATTGATTTTTTTACGGTCTAAGTCGTATGTTGCAATTTTCTGAATTTGTACGGGCACTAAGTTATTCGTTATGAGACGTCTTTAACAATTTTCTCCTTAGACTCAACAGATAGAAGTAAAATTAGTAGCAATCAAAAGCGATTTTTAGTCGCATTAAGCCTATACCCCCTTTCATTTTTCGCGAACACTCCCTTTCAGACATTTTGTCACAGTTAATTTTTATTATTTTTTGTATAAACCCTATTGAACCATGGTGCAGTAGACTGAAAAAAACCTATTCCAGATCAGATTTGTCTACATCAAAACATCACTGCTAACCTTAGTTCGTGTGAGAGACCTAATGGTTTCACGTCCAGTACTGCTCGAGCTACCAGCAGGTTGGATTGGAGGAGAGAGCAGAGGAGTAGAAGACTGCTCGGAGCCTACAATAAAAGGGACTATTGACGTAATTTCGAGTAATTCGCCAATCATGTCCGATATAAAATGGTATCCATTTTATTTTTGTTAGATATCCTATTTTTTTCTACATGCATTGTAATCATTTCTGTAAAATTTAAATGTGGATTTTGCAGCAGAGATATTAATGGAAATTCCACACTTTTCAAGATAAAAAAACGAGAATGTATTCTTGACCAGAAACTTGAAACTATGTCTACAAACCCTTTACAGATGTTGTATACTAAAATAAACTTTGTTTAAATGTTAATGATGGGCACCTACCTAAGGAACCTGAGCGTACTAGTGTACTAGATGCAGTTGGTATAAAGATTTGAAATGGTGAAAGAGACCTAATGGTTTCACGTCCAGTACTGCTCGAGCTACCAGCAGGTTGGATTGGAGGAGAGAGCAGAGGAGTAGAAGACTGCTCGGCGCCTACAATAAAAGGGACTACTGACGTAATTTCGAGTAATTCTCCAATCATGTCCGATATAAAATGGTATCCATTTTATTTTTGTTAGATATCCTATTTTTTTCTACATGCATTGTAATCATTTCTGTAAAATTTAAATGTGGATTTTGCAGCAGAGATATTTATGGAAATTCCACACTTTTCAAGATAAAAAAACGAGAATATATTCTTGACCAGAAACTTGAAACTATGTCTACAAACCCTTTACAGATGTTGTATACTAAAATAAACTTTGTTTAAATGTTAATGATGGCACCTACCTAAGGAACCTGAGCGTACTGGCGTACTAGATGCAGTTGGTATAAAGATTTGAGATGGTGAACTAGATGTAGCAGTTGCTGTTGGGAACCTTACTCGAGATTTCCTGCTCAAGGACTCTCTGTAAATATTTCAACCAAGATGAGATAAAAAAAATCTGTTTAATACTTTTTGTGGTATTTTATGGCAAAATCAATATTTAAAATTTTGGAAATCCGTCCTTAATTTTCAAGATCATTATATTAACTCCAAATGTAGAAACAAAAAATCAACAACTTTACATAAAGCTAAGGTGGGCGTCCACTGTGAAATAGTAAATTAAAATTTGCATGATGCTAGCAATCTATTAATCAGAGAAGAGGGATGATAAAAAGCTTCATTGTGCATTACAATCACCCATTTCCACCGGTTCAAAAAATGTATAACAAGTTTTCACTGAATACTCAAAATAATTTGTTCAATTTCCTGGTTATGTTCCTTGAGGACGGTTTGGATCCAAAATCCTTGAGCAGAGTCCACTTCTCCTGTACCGGAGCTTTAATATCCTTTCTCAGATTCCGGAGAACCTTGAAAACCAAGATACGGTTAATATCACAAGTTCAAGGAGTTCAATTTTGACGAGAATCTAGAATCAGACCATGTATGAACATTATAGTTTTTTACTTTTAGTAATGATAAATCAGAAACTTATTTCCCCTGAAAAAAATTCAGTAAAAGGAATTGAACATTTTTTACAAACTCAAATTTTCTTATCCCTATATCTTTGCAACCTTATGTTGTATCCCTTAGATATTTCAAGCTTAGTCTATTATATCTAACAGAATTCATAGTTTAAAATATATAAGGTCTACGACATAGGGTTGCAAAGATAAAAGGGTTAGAAACTCTGAGTTTGTGGCAAAGACTCAAATCCTTTGATGGTTTCTTATCACTTGGAACTTAAGATACAGAATACCCAAAGTTTCCTATTCTCAATGAATGGAATCTTTAGTTTTAAAATTAAAGAAACCCCTACTAAATGTTTCGGCACCAAAGTAACTCGAGCCCACTTATTGTTTCATGAAATGAAAATAAACATACAATGGATAAAATAGTATCCAGAATCATTAAGAGATAGTCTGAGTGAATTGAAAAGGAATCCTCTATAGTACAGATTACATAATGAATCTTACAATCTGAATAAATTAGAATAAATAGTGTTAATTATAACCTGTGGTGAGCAGAGTTGATTAACATATCCATGAGAAATACCGAAATGTCGGATAAAAACTCTGAGGGTTGGGAATGTTACTTTGCAGTCACAGAAGTTCTCCTCCAAGTAGTCTTTCTCTAGGATCTTTTTTAACTATAAACAAAACAACAATTCTGATAATAAACAAGATTAAAGGGACTGTAAGCGTAATTTCATGTGACCTTACATTTATAGAGAGGCATGTACGATTCACAACGGTACCCTTTAAACCCTTTTCCGGACAATGATGAGGTAGATATCCTCATTTGTATATCTGAAAATTGAGTGTCGGGAGACTCAAGGTAAGGGTGTACGTACATACGTTTTGTATTTGTAGGGGCTATACAGTATACAGTACACACTCCATGCTAGTGTTCAGTCGGGCGGTTTCTCGGCACTTAAATTTCCGCTATATAAGTAAGAATATCTACTAAATCCGTGATCAAACGAAGGCAAACGAAGGTTTTAAAGGGTATTATTGTAAATCGGACATGCCCCTATTAATATGGAAAGTCACTTGAAATTACGCTTACAGTCCCTTTAAAAATAATCTTCTCAAAACATGTCAGAACTCTTGGAACAGTTTTACAAAATTAAGATCTTTTATCCCATAAATACATTTTTATGTAATAGGTTAATATAAAAAAATAATCTGTGAATTTAGAAAATAACAAATAAAAAAAATATTCAAATGTGTAAAGTGAGATGGATTGGCTGATGGATATTAATAAAAGGAAGTGATTAACATAATCAATTACAATTACCTCCATAGTATTGTCAACATCATCATCATAACCAAATTTTTTCTATCTTTTGATCTTTTATGAACAGAATAAAAAAATACATTATTATTATTTCTATTATTTAACTCAGATCAATTATAAAAATTACTTTTCTTAGATAACCTCCCATATCCCAATATGCCTGTCAGTGTGACTGCATTATTATGAATGTTACCAGTCCTAAGTCCAAAACTTAAGAACGAAAAGTTACAGCTTAAATATTAATTTTCAGCTTAATTGCCGCTTGTGACTTAAATTTAAACCATAACTTTAAGCTACAGCTCAAATTTTTAACTCACCAAAATCGACGATTTAAATATTTAAACCAGTGAATTCTCACTTCTCAGTATTTCATTTTCAATGATCAATAATGATTCTCTGGAAACTGTTCCATTAGTTTTTTTAAGTGGTGCTTGCGTAGACATATAACCAATATAATCTGGGATACAATTTCAACTCCATAAATTATCCCTCAGTCGAATTCACCAACCCTGGATTTTTAACACTATATGACCATTACAAATAAAAGTAAATCCTTTATACCTGAGCTGTGTATAGTGTATACCTGTGACCATTGGCCGTGGATCTAAAAGTACCTGTGCGTAGAAATGTGAATCAACTAGATGTCTATAGATTAGCGCCTTAGTGCCATATTCCTTGGGACAAAGAGGACATTTTAGTTTCCTGGTTTCAGATCCTTTTCCTCGTTTCAGATTCAGCTTCTTAAACCATGGGGTTTCATGTTTCAGAAATTTTACTCTCTGGCGAGTGTAGGGAAAAGTTATCAAATGGGAAAATTAGGAAGCACTGTGATTAATTTCCGGATTTTTGGCCTGACATTTTTATTATAAATATCTGTGGAGCCCTTTTTCAGAAAATCTATTATTTCTAAAAAATTAATTTTCTCAAAAGGGGTTTCAAAGATATTTCTTATTGTTGGTGTCATGTCTTCTATTATCCAGCCAAGGATTCCCGAATTTACAGAACTATAAAGCCAAGGCAAAAAAGTGAGATAAGTGTCTAAGGAGGTTGTTGAGTTTCCGATTGTCAGAATATTATGCTTAACTTGGAAAGGTTTAATCATATCAGGTTAAAACTAGTCAATCACAAACCTAAGCTCAGGACATATCTAAATAAAATTTTCCAATAATTTTATTTGCAATGTTTGGTTAGAGGAGCAACATTTTATTTACTGAATTGGGGAAAATAAATGATTTCTTTAAATAAAAAAGTATATCCAGGGGTGAAATATTAACAAAAGATGTCCATTGTCCAGTTTTTCATCCGCCCTCCTAATATTCATAATTCATTTCTTAAAATATATGTTACACAATATACAACATACATCCCTGTTGTGCAAATCAGAAAAGTATATAATGATAATAAAAAAATATGTACATAAACCCCCGCCTTTAATCTTGGTCTCTCCTGTACTGAATCTGTTCGTTGAATAGATTTAACAATCTCATACTGCTTTCTGTACCTGACACATTCTTTAATTATATTTTGTATTGTTACCTAGGAAGGATTGGGCTAGATCCTAAACTGTATTATTACCTAGGAAGGATTGAGATGGATCCTATACTGTATTATTACCTAGGGAGGATTGAGCTATATCCTAAATTGTATTATTACCTAGGAAGGATTGAGCTGGATCCTAAATTGTATTATTACCTAGGAAGGATTGCGCAAGATCTGCTTGTATTTTCCTCCTGAAATGATGTCTGACACAATGATGAAGAAATGCAGGAAGAGCAAAATCCATCATGCAGCAGTAAATCGGCTTTTTTAACCCAAGACTCTCATCTTTGGTGTCCTTAGTTGAGCTCTGAGAACAGTTCATATCTTGCTCTGCTTCTACTGATTCATTGCTCCAAACTACAAATTAAGGATTTGCTAAAGCTACAAATATCCAAAATACAGCATAAAAACAAAATTGGTAAAAACAAGATAAAAAACTAATTTTAACTGGGCAATGATGAAGATCGATGAGAAGAGTAAATCTTAAGATAATTAATTAATGATAACCAGGTAAAAAACATGCAATATTGGAGGTATCATCAACAATTTGAAACATTTTTGTAAAAAATGTTACACGAATGAGAACAAGAACAAGAACCGAACCCCATTACATCATTAATCGAGAAAAATATTACATTAATTCGTAGACAAAATTAATTAAGGATGCTGAGAGTATTACCTTCAAGTTCTGATTCCATTTTCTCATTTTTCCCAAGAGAAAAATTCCTCAAAGCTTTGTTTTCACTAAGCCTGTATTGTTCGTCTCTTCTTTGATCCTCGGAGCTAACCTGGTCGTGGCTTTCAGCCCTACACTGGTTCTGATCCTCAGATCTCCTATGGTTCATGGGATCTCCCGGGTCTTGATCCTTAAATCTTTTATGATCCATGGGATCGCTCAGGTCTTGATCCTCAGACCTCATCTGGTCTTGATCCTCAGCTCCACCCTTATCAGTTCTAATCTGATCTCCTGACCCTTCCTGGTCCAGATTAGCTCGTCCAGGTTTACCTGCACCAAGAAGCATTTAAAACGAAACGTAATTGTTGTTTATAAATTCTAAGTAAAAAAGGTAATTTTGAACTTCTATGATCATTGACAGACGATAGTGGTAATCTTTTTATTATATTGGAAATTTATGAATTTTGATAGGCAATAGGATAATTCTATAGGGCATAACAATTCATTGATGATCATGAAACACCTCCAATTATATGATTAAAAAATATGTCATTTATAATACAAAAACATCAAGGTTTGTCATTAAAGACGGCCAATGCAAATCCCGTCATAAAAATGTTTGTAAAACTTCATCTATGTAAAAAAAATTTTAGTGATAAATATATTATATATCTATCTATGACCTAAGTTTTGCTTAACTCCCTTCTCTGACTGATTTCCTTGACTGCAATCTTCCAGCATGATCTCAACAGCGTTATGTTTCATCCCATAATGTTTAAGGAACACCGTGTTGGATTGAAATCTCTAGTTCAATGGGTTCATCTTAAACTTGATAATTTAAAAAGTGTTAAGGAATTTTTCTTAAATTCTTCAACTGCATATTTAAACTGTGTCACACAAAATGAGTTTTATTATGGCCATATGTAATTAAAGGAAAGTTAAGATGACAACCCTGATTGCAGGGTGCGCAGTGTCGTGTAGATTTCGGAAACATTTCGCTAATTCGTCGGTAAAAGTGTTTGTAAAAGTAATGAAGCTTCAGTTGATACTTGGACTCGGATCCACTACCACAGAAGATACAAACACATCCTGAGCAATTAAAGTAATGATTATAAAAATTATGAAAACAATTGGATTTCACTTTATTTCAGTGAAAACATTTATCGTGTAGTACTAGTCCTATCCTACCAGCACGACCCTTCAAGGATATAATTGACAGGCCATCAAAAAAAGTAAAAAATTCAATTCTTTTTGATATCAAAAGAAAAAACTTTGGGATTATTTTACCAAATTAGATATTTGCTATATGTCTGTATATTATATTAGTAGAATTGCATCAAAAATGAGAGGTAAATAATGAGGTCTGAAAATCTGATTCAAATCTAATGTGAAAGGATCGTCCTGAACCAGAGTAAGATAATTGAAAATATGAGCTGCAGTACCTTTTGTTATAATTCTCCCATACTTCTTGTGCACTTTATAATCATTCTTCTCCTCAATTAATCCTGACCCTAATTCAATATGGGATTTAGATCTGGTTTTTGGAACTTTATTTCCGATACCAGGCCCATTCATCCCACTTCTGTTCTCAGGTATCATATTTTCAGCCTCGGTTCCAGGTTCAATAATTTCATCTTGACCCTATGGTAAAATCTTTGAATTCTAGGAGTTAATCTGGATTAATTGAGAAAAACTGTTGTAACTTTCAATTTCTTTAGTCATACTTCTGACACAAAAACAAGCCAACCGAGATAGAGACATTTATGAATGTAATCTCATTTAACTGGGTTTTTAATTAATTGGTTCAAACTGATAAGTTCTGAGAAAGTATTGAGTTTCAAGAAACCAAAATAAAGAAAATAAGAGAGCGCTGAACTGCCATACAAGAGAAATTAAACTTGGCTCTACCTCTATACTAGACTCTCCTCTATCCCTCCATCTGTCTCGATGGTATTCTTCCCCTAGGTATGGAGGCACAGATGTACTGCCTCGGAATGCTTGAGGAGTAAAGGTTGAACTTGATCTCAGTCCCTCTTCCGTCTATAAGTTGGAAAAATTTCTATTAAAGGAAATATTCAATAAAAAACATTCATTCTCAATAATAAATAGGACAGACAACTATCTAACTTGTTTTTTTTAAGTTGAGACTTGCACATTGTAGTAACAAAATATCCATTAAAAAGAAAAAACACAAAAAAAGTAAAACCTATTCGTCAATATTTTACCTGAGAAATGTTATGCCTTGGCATCGGAGTTGGAAATATTCCCGGAATATGAAACCCTGGGTAGGGTTGATAGGAATGGTATGGATTAAATTGATATCCAGGATGGAACCCAGAGAACACAGATGATATATTATATCCAGGATACCCATAAAACTGATTATTTGGCATGAAAGCTGAGTTTGGACGAGGAGGAAACTGAGCAAACTCTTGAGGAGCAACACTATTTGATCTTGGGAACTCTTCCCTGAGGAGTATCCCATGAAGAGGCTTCTTAATCGCTGGTATTCCTGGAGTTAAAACCTTGTTATTTTGACTGACCGGCACAAAGGCTGACCTGGGACGGGGCAGAAGCTCAGGGATTTCAGGAACAACACTCAGTGGTCTTTGGAATTCGTCATCACATGTTGTTTGTGTCACAGAATTAGGATTCTTTATCTTGCATATGTCTGGTGTCAATGGTTTGTTATCTCCACTGCTGACTGTTAATGAGGGACTAGTGCGGTCACACATATCTGTAGACTTTGATCCTATAGGTTCAGTAACAAAGTTACTGTTCATGTCCCCTTCCCGTAAATGAAGAGAAGGGAATGGATCAGAAGGAAAAGAAAATAAAGTGTTAAGTTTCCTCGCCTTTGGTCTGTGTAAAGTCGACATATTAGGAGTTGACTCATGGACATCAGGAATTCTGGAAATATCTTTACATGGGGTTGATATTTTAGGATTAGATTCTGATAATGCAGGAGTAGGATGAGGGGTAGATACTACTGGTTGCGGAGTAGATTTTGATTGAAGTTGAGAATTTTCTGTTAGGTGAGTAGGAGATGTTAGGTTAGGAGTATATGCCTCTGGTTCAGATGAGTGAGAAATGAGAATTTTCTCAGATTTGTGAATTTTCTCGGAGTTCTTCTCCAGCACCTTGTTAGAGCTCGTCTCAAGTAATTGGTTGGAGTTTATGTTCCCGTTATTGTTGCTGACATAAACATTTGAGCTCGTGCAGATTTGGAGAGATAAACTATTTAAGACTTTCTTCATCCCAAGGATGTTCAAGACAAATTTCAATCTGTTCAGAGATACATCGACTACAACACACCTAGAGTAATGATAAAAAGCGTTAAATTGCTTTACAAAGATTTTAAATGAGGATTATACGTATTATATTATAAGTTTATGAGATTCGTAGATCTCGATATCCACTGTGGGCAATTTCAATTCGAGGATGCATAAAAAACTATCTTTTCAAATCTTCATTGTATTTATTCCTCTCCTGATGAAAGCTTCCTTCAACCCCTGACTGGTTATGATTACCATGCGGGATATCGTATAAAGATTAAATTAATCTGCAGATTTAACAAAAGATCGAGATCAATCATTGATATGGATATCCGCAAGAGTTGGCAGCTCTAGACATATTTCTATTGGACACCTTGAAATCAATTTAATAATTATGTGGTTCAAAATAAACACAGGAAATATTTCGGATCCTGATAAAAATGCACGCATGCACTTTCAAAGCATTCATTCTTCAGAATTCAAACTTTAAGAATTTAAAATTTGAATAGATTCAATTTTGAATGATATTTCCGGCTGAATTGTTATGTTATACTTGAGATAGCAGTTAAAATGTCCATTTTCCAGGAATGTATTTAAATTTTATTACTATTTTTCTGGCAGCCAAATTTCTTTTGAAATTACACACGCAATAAATACAAGTTTTTGATAATTTTAATTTATATTTTAACATTTAAGTCCCACACTTGACTTTTTTCAATGATAAGAGAGGGATTGTATCGAGAGAAAATTTTAAGAAATAAGGAGTTAACCCTATTAACAATTTCCTGTTTATGGAATTCATCGTACCTTCCAGAGTACAGTAGGTTAAGAACACTGTTCATTTCTCTACATGAGATATCAGGGAGCAGAAGATTTCTAGAAATATTACAGAAATATTCTTGAATATGTTATCGCCAGTCATCTCAGTGAGGATTTTGTTAGAGTTAAATGATTATAGATCATGAATATAGATTTGAGAAAAATAAACTACCATTATCATTTTGAACCTAAGAAGCCTTGCACATTATGTAATCTACTTTAATTTTTTCTAAATTTAAAATTAACATGATTATTTTAGAATAATTTTTATGTAGAATATTTTTTTTATTACCTGTTTTTTAGCTCTTCTTTGCACTGACACATCGCGCCCAGTAGTTGACTTCAGTTACAGAAAAATACATTTTGTAAAGAAGCATTCACATTTTAGAAAAAAGATGCTTCCATTTTCAAAATTACTGATAAACGATTTTGCAAAGTCTTCAATCGTCAAGGAAAATCTATGATTTTTATATTTGTAATTAGAGACTTAATCAACAGATCAATAGATTGATCAACAGATCAATACAGGGGGAACTGATCCCTTAATCAACAGATCAATAGATTGATCAAAAGATCAATACAGGGGGAATTGATCCCTTAATCAACAGATGAATAGATTGATCAAAAGATCAATACAGGGGGAACTGATCCCTTAATCAACAGATCAATAGATTGATCAAAAGATCAATACAGGGGGAATTGATCCCTTAATTCATAATAAAATTACTTTTTAACTTTAAACCTAGAATCAGCTTTTCAATAAGATACGTTTTAAACCTATTAGCATATTTTGAAACCCATTAGCATATTTTGAAACCCATTAGCATATTTTGAAACCTATAAGCATATTTTGAAACCTATTAGCATATTTTGAAACCTATTAGCATATTTTGAAACCTATTAGCATATTTTGAAACCCATTAGCATATTTTGAAAGTTTTCAATTATAAATAGATGTAGCTGAATTAAGGCGGAGGGCAAGATGAGCACAGTTCAGCGCTTTCAAGTCCTCCTGCGCACATTATTATTTGTTTATGTATGTAATTAAACCAAGTATTTAAGATAATGTTTTAATATATGTGCCTAATATAGATAATGTGATAAGATTTGATAATCATGATTTTGTTTTCCGTCATACTCACAGATTCATTATCTTTAAATATTATTTTTGAGCATTTAACCAGTTGACAGAATTGAAGTTTTAAGAAAATCATGGATTTTTATACAATTAAATTCAATTGTCTACTTAAAATATCCCCTGACTGAGTCCTGTATTGTATTCACCTAATGAACGGAGAAGCTAGGCTGAGAAGAGCTGAGTGCGCCTGAAGATGACCGTCACACAGTTCTAGGGTTAAATCACACAGTTTTCCTCTCTCCTTTTGAACTTGGAACTCAATCCACTGTTCTTTCAAGTACCTGGTTACCATACGTTAATAATTAATACAAAAGGTGCCCCTTCCCCCCCCCCCCTCCTATGATAATCTTAATATATCAGTCAAACAATAACGTATAATCTTTAAATAATTATATTCCCTTTTCAAAGGTTAATTTTCATTCTGGGGCACTATTGTAAATTTCAAAATCTCGGAAATGAAATTTTGACTCTCCTACCCTTAATATACAAAGTATATAAAAAAAAACGCATTAGTTCCTATTAATGTTGATTTTTGCATCAAGTTCATCAAGTGTGCGGTCAGACCGATATCCAGGTACTATGTTAATTCTAGCAGTCATGTCCATTCCAACCCTAGAATAGAAACAGAATATATCTAGGTAGCAAAGAAATATCTTGCCCAAGCTAAATTTAATGCTTTCAGCCCGTTACTGTAGTGATCCGAACAACACTTGGCCAACAGCTACAGGTCGTAATTATCTATCTACACTGCTCTGGTAAAGCGTAACCATAGTGTGACTATGGTGGAATTTAGTTGTGAGAGTACCAGTCAAATTCAATCTGACCCTGTATATTTCTACTTAAACCTTGCAAAAAACAGTTACCCCAACTAAAGTTATCATCAATCCAGTAACACCAGTTCACTTCGAAACTGTAAAAATACTAAATATATTCAGGAATGATTAACTGTATTTATGCTTACATCGACTCCATCCCCACATAAACCAAGTAAATAAATACTTAACCTATTGTTGATAAACAATTAAGCGTTTTGATTTGTTACATCAGTTATTATTATATACTAGTATTTTATATTCTTTAAAGGATAATTTTCCCCTCCCTCCAGATTTTATTTTCAAAACTGTTTCATTTCTACAGATACACACCAGGTTGGCTTGAAATAGTTTACTAAAGTATACTGTATAAGTAAATATTCAATCGGGAAGCTATATTTTCGTGTTGGGTTAAATTACCGTTTGTTTATAAAGAAAAATGGCTAACATGTAGTATACTCCCGTACAAAACAATTAATAAAGAGCTACCTTGATAATTCCTGTGAGCCCTCTAGTTTCTCGTTTGAAACTTCCATTCTTTCTTATAAAAAGAGAATAGGTTGAAAATCAAATGGCTTCCACACATAAATGCATTCAGCATTCAAATGGAAAATAAATACTAATCTTGATGTACTTCTCAACTTTTAAACGATATTTACTTAACAATATGTTTCCTATAAAAAAAAACAGAAAGCATGTTTGTTGCTCAGACACAAAACTTTTAATTTGCCTTTATATTCTTCAATGCTTCGAACTGGTAAATCTGATGATCTATTGGTAGTTGGTACTCTTAATTTTTATTCGACGTTTCCCAGGAAAACTTATATTTCTTCACAATTCCAAAGCTGCGGCGGGATAAACGTTTCTTATTAGTTATACCGGCTTAAGATAAGTTTGAAATGTACAGAAACATAAGAATAAATAAGTTGCGCCAAACGATTCACTCAATTTCCTTTCATCGCCTTTTGATATTATAATGATGCGTATCATATCTATGGTTCGTCAAGTTAAAACGTTGCGAAAAAAAACGAAAATAAAACGCCCATTATTTTTAGTATTCATTCAGTCAAGAAAATTACTTTTTTTCTGTAATAACTGAAAATATGCAACCAAATTAAAAATAGTTTATTAAACAGTCTCAACTAGAATTGTATTAAAGAGAAAATGCAGCGTAACATAAACAAGTCTTAATATTTAGTCTTTTCCCCTACTTTCCTAATATCAGCTTCTTCCCGTAATTTTCTCGCAACCATATGAAGTAATCAGTTTGATCTTTGGTTCGTGATAAATATCTTCAGCTCATTTCTTCCATTGTTGATGATCGAAGATTAAACTGTAAAAACATAAAGAATATCACATTCACGTTTAAACAGCAGGAATTATACAAACTAGCACCAATTTCATTTTATATCTACTAAGAAAGAAATTTTAACATTTTAAATATTTTAAGCGAGTCCGTACATGGAAATTCAAATATTGAAAAACTATGCTAGACTTAAACAAAAAATACGGTTCTTTGCTGGAAAACACTAATACTTAAGGACACTAAGCAAATTCAGTTTTTATTATAAATATAATCACACTGGTTAAATTTACAGTTTGACAAGTTTAAGTTAAAAATAGTTATGTGGTGCAGCTGATTTTAAGGACAATGTCTTGTATACCTTGAAGAAGAATCCTTCAGTGCAAATACGAATATTTCTTTTTCAAATTTTGACAGATAAAATGACAAGTTTATATGATTTATCAGTATGAATCTGATGGGAATGGGTTGGGTTGTTTTTAACAACCTACTAAATACAGTTCAGTACACACACCCTGCGCACGCCTAAACTTTCTGCTGGCATTGTACTAAAAGAAAGAGATATCTAATCCCGTTTAGTTGGGTGCTAGATGATCTGTGTATAGTGTTTTAATGAACACATTTTTTGGGATAAATGGAACAATCTTCTGTCTCAAAAATCTTCTCATTCCTAGAATTGAAAAAATGGTTCTGATGAATTACGTTGACTTAAGAACTTTAAACTTAAAAATCCTTGACAAGAGTATAGATAAAGATGAAGAAAGAATTCGTGAAATTTGAAGTGATTGAAACCGAATCATAAATTTAAGCATGGAACATTGGTTAAGCACTTCAGTACCCAACCAAAGTAGTGTTAGATTTGAGCTTAAAGTTAACCTCCTTCCCTTCAACTACTTCATACATACATCTTTCCCTGTTAGAATTTGAGCAAATGAGATGAGGAATATTCTGATATAGATATTACTTAATACTGAACCCTTTCAGCGTTAACATTTAAAAGAAAAGTTATTAATGAGGAGTGATTTCCTTATCGGCATCTATATATAAATTTGGCTTGTCTGTCTGTCTGTTTGTTTGTTTGTTTGTTTGTATCCAATAAACGTCAAAACGGCTGAACCGATCGGGCCCAAATTTTTTGTGGGACATCTAGGGACTCCAGGGAAGGTTTATGAATCATCAAAATTTCAAATATTTGTCTCCATCAAAATTCGATCGTCATTAAATTTTTTAAAATTTTGAAAATCCGCGAAATTTTTTGTGAAAATCCGCGAATTATTTTTGTTTTGTTTTACGATGTACACAAAGAGAACATGTTCACAATTAATTTAGGAGATGGGCGCGAAGCGCCCTCTAAGGCTAGAAAGAAGGGCGCGAAGCGCCTTGAATTTCTAGTAATAAAATATTTTGCTAACCAATATAAAAGGTTACTTTTAAAGCAAGATTTGCATTCCGTGTTTCTGAAATAAAATGGACACATTCAGGGTCTCTAGCTTACAATAGTACTACTCCGGCTACTGTATCAATGGCACGGATACTTAATATTTAAAATAATAATTTGGTTCATCAAAAGTTAAGAGCAAAGACGACATTGATTTCGCAAGTGTTCTGTGTTCCATTAGAAGGAAAAATTTTCTTTCTTGATTACAATCCAGCTTTAATACTCATTACAGGGGTGTATATTTTACAGTTATCCCCCATCCCATATGAAAAAACAAGTTTTTTCCTCCTTTTTCATACTTTAAACCCAAAAATTTATTTATTTTACCCAAAAGTGTATTTTCTTTCCCCAGTATATTACTATTAATATTTTACGCTATTTTAAGACCCAACCCCCACCCCCCCCGCCTCCACATCATTACAATAAAGAGAAGTAAACAAGCTAACCTCTTTCTTTCTTAAAATCCCAAGTTCAAACTAAAAGATGTGTGGTTGGTTTCAACAAAGATTTTAATTTCAAATATCTGCACTTTATCAAGAATTTTACTGAAAATCTTGAAACAAGAATAAACTAGAAAATGTAAAAGAAAATATGCATGTTTAAATAAGCATGTATGAATATAGGTTGATTTTATCCAATAGAACTCTAACGACTAGAGTCTATAAGAAAGCACTACAATCTTGAATCTTAAATGTAGACACTGTACACTGTACAGAATACAGTGTATACTGAAGTCTCAGGGTTGAGTTGTGAAGGAAGGAAGTAGATCCAGGGGAAGATTTGGAACCCAACAAGAAAAGGAGGAAAATAAAGTGGAAGAAAGGAGTAGCAGGTTCATAGAGCAAGGAGCACACTATCTAAACATTTCACATAGGTTTATAATATTTCAAGTCAATTAAATGTTGTTTCAATGTTTTCTGTAAGTCGGACAATGACCTGTATCTAGCAGGTTAGCTCTGTATAATCCCACCAATCCTTCTCATACCCTTCATGAACATGAGCTAACAATACTTTTCTCCGACTGTCACAGTATCTAAAAAAAAAAGTTGAGCAACGCAGAGCATTGGGTTTGCAATAATTAACTACATCCGAACAAGAAACCAAATAGAAAAAGCTCAACAAAAATAGAGATTAAATAACATGCTTTAATAAAAAAGTATTAACAGAAGAGTTTGGAAAAACTCGCCAAAACCTTGCATCTGACTTTTCTTCTTTTTGAAAAATGCAACGAATAAGATTTAGAACACTATGAGAGAGCTGAGTACAATAAACTACGTCCCACGGAAATACAATCCCTCATAAAAGGTAATTATATTGCATTTGTGGTTCAGAATTATTTTATTAACATTACATTAATTTATCTATATAGTAAATCTAATATCTATCACACACCCGTTTCGAGATTTGGCGTATATCGAAGTTTTCAGTTTATGTAGATTGCAGATTATTATCATTATTATTAAAAGACAACCAGCCAGTAGATGGAACAGTTATACATACTCACTACTCAGTATAGTAAGAATTTTTTTTTACTTCCAATTGTATAAAAACATCGTTGACGTTATCTCAAAAGGAGAAAGAATTGTAAATAGATTAGTAATGGTGAATAGAATACCTGTATTTGTCCTGAACCTTCTGTTTGATATCTGCAAGATTTTCAGCTGAAATATCTCTCTCAAGGTATTCAGATAACTGTTCTGTAGCACTTTCTAAATCCTTCTGGTTCGCCTGAATAATCATAAGTACAATATACACAAAATCATTGTATTCTAAGAAGTAAGTCAAAGCAAAGGCTAAAATCCCCAAAATCCTCACACAAAAAAATGATAATTCCATTCAGTGAACTGGGAAATATTTATTGTAACGTTTAGTGAAAAACAAAGAGAAAAACAGAAGGAATGAACAGTCTAGTATTTAATTAAAATTACACAAGCACAAGCTTGCCATGATTTGACGGTTTGACCCTACCTCAAATATGGCAGACTGATTGTTCTTCCTGAGGTAGTACGCGAATACGTAGGTAAACATCAGGGTTCTCCTGCACTCGCACAGTATATCCAGACTCTTCTTCAAAAACTGAACCTAGAATAAACAAACCATGATTAACTTCAGGAGCTCAGGAGGAACATTTCTGCAATTTTTACACTTTTTTATTGGGAACTTTTATTAAAATATAGTTTAGTTTGGCTTACCTCTATCCAAGACATGTTGTGCTGTTGCATCTCCTCCATCTTGTCTTTCACCATAGCGTACAGCTTAGATTCAAACTTCAAGGACTGTAGATGGTTCATATATCTAGATATTCATAGAGATTAGATTCAAACTACAAGGACTGTAGATGGTTCATATATCTAGATATTCATAGAGATTAGATTTAAACTTCAAGGACATGGTTCATATATCTAGATATTCATAGAAATTAGATTCAAACTTCAAGGAAATGGTTCCTATATCTAGATATTCATAGAGATTAGATTCAAACTTCAAGGACTGTAGATGGTTCATATATCTAGATATTTATAGAGATTAGATTCAAACTTCAAGGACATGGTTCATATATCTAGATATTCATAGAGATTAGATTCAAACTTCAAGTACTGCAGATGGTTAATATATCTAGATATTTATAAAGATTGGATTAAAACTTCAAGGACATTGTTCATATATCTAGATATTTATCGAGATTAGATTTAAACTACAAGGACTGCAGATGGGTTATATATCTAGATTATTATAGAGATCAGATTCAAACTTCAAGGACATGGTTCATATATCTAGATATTTATAGAGATTAGATTCAAACTTCAAGAACTTCAGATGGTTCTACTCTATATACCTGTTACAGTAGAATAGATATCTCTGAAGGGCTGCTCTACTCTTCTCCTGACTGTCTCGATTATTCTTTGCCTCATCCTCGTCGTATCTACAAAAGGTTTATGATAAATAATTAAATAAAATCTGATATATAGGGATGTCCAACTTCCATACATCAGATTAAATGACTGAACTATAATAATGGTAATAATACTGAATTAAAAATGAAGCCTGGTACGTCTTATGATTTGTAATGATTCAAATAATTCATTTGGACATTTAAAAGGTATTTCTCATTTCGACGGGCAACCGACAATGTGCCATTTACTAATGACAGATTCCGACCACTTTGTAATATATACTTACTTAGAACAGTATTGTAGTTGGATTTTACTTTTATTCAATAAATTCCGTTTCAATAAAAAAATGGTTTACTTTTTTCAGAAGTTTACTGCAAAGAATATTCAGTTTAAATTTGAGATTAACATATCTTCTAAAATATACTTTGTATAGAGCCTAGTTTACCTGTTACAGTTATACCAAGATGATCCATGGGGTTCCCAAAGGCCTAAACAGACCCAGCAGAATTCTGTTTTACAACTCTGGTTTTTACAGATCATATGGTTGCAACCCCCATCCTTCTCAATAGTTGCTCCACATTTGGGACACTCTTTAGTGTTTACTGAAATCCAGTTTGAGGTTTCACTATCATCATCACACTTCTTTATCCATTTCTTTATCAATGGACACCGGACAGGGTCATGCCAGTTCTCTGAACATTGTTCAAATCATTAATTTACTCTTCACTGTACAAAAACAAAAAAAATGTACACATTGCAATTTGTACAATGCATATCGTCATGGAAGTTTCTATAATAATGGGATGACAGTTATCAAAGTTTATAATTGAATGTTAAATGTAATTAACATAATTAACTTTATAATTTAACTTAATGACACTTTAATATTCTTTTAAATTCAATGAAGTGACTTATCTGATTATAGACTTCGATTTGAAGTATATATTATAAACGATTTATCAAAACTAATGTGTATAAATGTACAGTGTATACTGACGGTTTGATGTTTGTTTAGATAAAGAACAACAAAAGGTTCAAAATATTCAATGTGAGTTACATGACATTATGATTTGTGTAAATAGAACTAGAGATAAACAAGCTGAAGGAAATTGCAAGGATTATCATCTGAGAATATTATCTTTAACGTCATTTATTATTGAATCAATGAATAATGAATCAATGAATCAATGAACCAATGAACCAATGAACCAATGAACCAATGAACCAATGAACCAATGAACCAATGAACCAATGAACCAATGAATCAATGAATCAATGAATCAATGAATCAATGAATCAATGAATCAATGAATCAATGAACCAATGAACCAATGAATCAATGAATCAATGAATCAATGAATCAATGAATCAATGAATCAGGGAATCAGGGAATCAATGAATCAATGACTCAATGAATTAAGAATTAAAATGAATGAAGGAATGAATCATGCAATGAATCAATGAATCTATGAATCTATAAATCTATGAATCTATGAATCTATGAAAGGATGAATCTATGAATCAATGAATCAATGAATATACCTGCACAGTTAAAGCAGAAGCTGTGTCCACATCTACATTTCACTAGTTTAGCTTCTACATGCTGAACCTGGACAAGTATTCATATAAAATCTCAGCTTAAACCTCGAAAAAATATTTTAAAGATCATGTTTGTTCTAAATTATTTAACAATCAGCAAACCTCAGGCTAACTACCCCTGTACATAGGAATTTTTAAGATGGAATAACAAGGTAAAATATGTTTCTTTTCAACTGAATCTTCTTGCTTAGATAAAAATAAAATAAATAATAATAAAAATAAAAAACATTTCCCCCTTAGTTCCTATCTTTCTCCTTACATATATATTCCCTAACAGGTTTCTATCACTGAATTCGAGAAATAAATGATTTGTGGAGAAAGAAAAATATCTAACAAAGAAGCGAGGGAGGTAAAAAAAATAAAAAATGCAGTTAAAAGCTAAATAGTAAATATTTATAATATTTGAATGACTAAAATTGACTTGCAAGTATAAAATCATTGAAGAAACTTGTCTTCATATTAACTTTAGACAAAAAGGGCAACTTACTTAACTAAAGTAGTTTGATATATTATAAGGCAGGTTTACCTTAACAGCATTGTTACAGTCTGGAGAAGGACACCATCTAAACATATATTTTGATAATATTAGCGAATTATACAAGTTTACAATCATTGTTAAGTGACAATCAACCAAGTTCTGGTTCTGAACGGCAGCGTCATCTATGTATAAATTTGGCTTGTCTGTCTATTTGTTTGTTTGTTTGTCTGTCTGTTTGTACCCAATAAACGTCAAAACGGCTGAACCGATCGGGCCCAAATTTTTGTGGGACATCACGTGACCACAGGGAAGGTATATGAATGATCAAAATTTCAAATATTTGTCTCCATCAAAATTCGATCTTCATTAAATTCTTGAAAATTTTGAAAATCCACGAAATTTTTTGTGAAAATCCGCGAATCTTTTTTGTTTTGTTTTACGATGTACACAAAGAGAACATTTTCACAATTAATTTAGAAGACGGGCGCGAAGCGCACTCAAAGGCTAGTAATAATAAGAATTGACACAGGACCCTCCATTTAAAGAGTGGAAAACTGTTAAACCTTTTTCTGACAAAGGGCTGCATCGACGAATTTTATTTTACGCAAAAAAACGGTTACATCTTTATTATTGTGAATTGGGTATACAACTCTTTACTTGTATTTGCGCCAACGGACCTTTGAAATGTTCTGCTCACCCTGTAATATCGAGGTGTGTAGTGTGTAGTATACCTGAGTAATCTGTTACACTGGACGAAGCTGTTTGTAATAAGATGTTGATACTTGAGTTTAACTCTATCCTGAGTCAAGTTCATCACGGTCTGATCGTCTACTATGATCTTACAACTAAACAAGGAAATTAATTAATTAATCAAGCCTTAAAATTCTGGTATTCTATTTTTTTATGATAACAAATAAAATATAATTTAATGTAAACATATACTTCCTACTTTTTTTTCATGAATGTTTTCATATTTTCCTTAAAAAATCGTCTCGCCTACGTATATTCATTCATTTACACGATGTAAGAAAATTTTAACTTTTGTTACTATATTTTTTTTTTTTTTGGGGGGGGGGGGCAAAATAACTACAGGGAAAAGCTCATTAATTATGTACCTACCCGCAAAAAAACCTGATGTGGATAAAGATATTCAACTGCTTTTAATTTGAATTTGTTCTTCTCTTGTTTAGATTTATTATTTTTTTTGTGTTTTCGTACGTTAAACCTCGAATTTTTTTATTTGAATCCATTATTTTTCGTACTTCTTTGGTTATCTAAACCTACAATGATACGACTTCTATTTTCTAGTACTTTGGCTTTTATTCATTTTTTTTGCTCCGTATTGCCTCCCTTACAAGCCTCTTTCTAAAACTAAAATATTACCTGCCAGGACACTCAATCATCTGACTAGCTCCTTCATCCATAATTTTAGTTGTTAGATACTCGGTCCAACAGTTCTTACAGTAGAGATGGCCACACTCTAGCCCGGTCATCATCTAATATCAACAATAAACATGTGGAATAGATTTTAAAATATTCACTGATAGAATTGAAATTTGAAAAAAAAAAAAAAAACGAAAGCAGAAGAAATGATTAGAATAAGAGAATTAAAAAGTTTTATATTTATGATACATTGTTACATGTATTATTGAACACAATGAATTGGAATCTGTAAAGAACCATAACAAAACTAGGTGAGGGGACCATTGTTCTCATCCTTTCCATGTGATTGTGAAAAGACAGGAAGTTTAAAAGCTCTATAGCCCAAAAACTATAAAATATACCATAATTATTCAATACACTCACCGATTTTGGAGTTGAAAGACAACATATTTCACAATCCAAGGCGGAACTAGTTGTTGGTATTCTCTTCACCTTTGATACAGGAACTTTTCTAAAATAAAAATAACTCATTGAATATTTGTGGAATCAGATTCAACTCGGCTCCCCTCCCCCTCCGTCCCTTAGAAAAAAAACGTGAAAAAATGTGTTTACAGGGTTTAAGCGTAATTTCAAGTGAGCCTCCATGCAAAGACGGGAATACCCGATTTACAACGGTTTCCTTAAAAGCATTGTCTGATCAAGCATGAATTAGGTATCAATGTTTTAGTTTCCCTTTAAAGCATTGTCTGATCAAGCATGAATTAAGTATCAATGTTTTAGTTTCTTTAAAATGTTTATATTCATTTGCAGTTTCTTTGCATAAGTAATTTCTGATAAATGGCAATGGAGAAATTGTAAAAATCAAACACTTTTCGAGCTAGGAAAACATAGGTATCTTCCCCAATCCACATTGTTGACCAGATTAAGGTTTCAAGGCTACCGTTGAAAATAGAACATTGCCATCTTTAGACGGAGGCTCACTTGAAATTACGCTTACTGACCCTTTAAATATGAAAATCTATTTTATAAAACCTCTTTCTTTAGAGTATTTTCTTTTTGAGTTTTGAGGTAACTTGCTAGAAAATAAAAATACAAAACCTCATAAAAAGAAGACTAAAAACCTGTATGGTGAAACTACATGAGCTTCCTCGAACAAGGCGTCCTGATTTTCCGAATAATACTTCTCCATGAGCTTCTCCTTGTCCCATTTGAAGTGGTTCAGCAATATTCTAAATATTAACAAATTGTCTACTGTCCGTCTGTCTCTGCATTGTTCAGTTCTCCAATCTACAATCTTGATCTCGCTATCCACTCTGACAACTTTTAATTTCAGATCAATGTACTACATTACTTGACATTTAGTTATCCTTGTCATAGGTTCCCAAAACTGGTATAATAAAAGGATTAATTTAATCCTTCGCAATGAAGAAGAAACAGAAACAAAAAAGTTTTGACATCAGAACAGTAACGAGTTCGGTAAAGAAATATGACAAGATATCCTAAAATTCCTTTTCTAAAAACAAAACTCATAGTGAAATGTTATACAGTACACTAAGGTTCTTTATTGTGCCTTAAATATTTGAGGCTTTTATTTTTTCAAATATGTAGATAGCTCTCATGAGTTTTAATATGGCGTATACAATTAAAGAATTCCTAACCTAACTGTTGTGGTAGGAATTTGTATGACTGTATTCACCTCCCTGATACAGTCCACCATGTGACTTACTATTTGTTCCGTAGTTAAAACCTAAAAAAAAAGTTTAATCAATTATCTTTAAATTTAGTTCAAATTGCTTTTTCATACAGAATTTACAAAGTAAAAATTGGCTATGGACCTTGATGGATATTTTACCTTAAATTTTTCATTTACAAATAAATCTATATTTACCTCAAAATGGTATTCCTCTTCAATTATCTCATTAGAATGTGTGGCTTCTTCTCCCAACCCCAAATCCATTCCCAGGTCATCATCCTAAGTATCATTTTAAAAGTTGATAAAAGTTGATTTTGATAACCTTTGATGCTAGGGAAACACATTCCTGAGTTGTATTACCTGGAAACCTCCTTCAGCCATGTTCAGAATACTTTGATAGATTTACATTTTTGCGGATTTATGAAGAATAAATCGCGGATTTACAACTATTATTTTTTTTTAAATCATTTCGTTTTTTACATTTCATTACACCCAGCGATATAAATCGTATTTGTTGATCTTAAAGTTTCCTGAAAAGTAGGATGTGCGTTTTTCCTACCTGGTCTTCTGAATCCTCTCCCTCGGGAGACTCATTTCCGGAATCCGTTGCTTCGTACAAATAATCGTCATCGGAGTCCATTTTCTCTGCAATACTAAGATATAAACATACAAAACTCGACATAAATATATATAATGTTTTAGGAATGAATATTGTCTAGACAATTTCAATTACTTTGGTTAAGATCAATATTTTAACATGTCTATGAAAAATTGCTTTAAACAAATATTCTAATGTCTTTAACAGTGTTTAATGTTTGTCTCAACATTGTGAATAAAAATCAGCATCTCGATTTTAACTTATCAAACTTCATACCCGTTTTTATAAATTGCTCAACTAATAAATTTTCAATTTTTAAATTGACAACAAGGAAGATCTCTCTACATTTCAAATAATAGAATAAATTGGATTGGAAACAATAATTACATCAAATGAATTTAATCATAACATGTAGTTTTTAATTAAAGTTTAATTAATTCCAAGTATTTTTTTCATGAACAGTATTTTGGGCACGTTTGTTGTTTCCATTGCGTCAACAACCGAAGGGTCAACACCTTCGTCAAGCGCCCCCTCCGGGCTTATCTCAAAGTGAACGCCTGCACAGCAAACTTCAAATTAAATTTCTTAATTTTTTTGTTTTAATGGGTATTCATTGCCAGTTTTCTAGTGGTATGTTTTAAAAATTTTAATTAAATCCGAGATTAATTTGAGGAAAGTAAATTAAAATAATTAATAGAAAATGAAATTGGGAGACAAACTGAAGGTGTTAATAAGGCCGAAGGAAAAATCATTTACTTAAGGGGTTAATGTAAGTGTATAGAATAGCTCCTGCCTGATATTATTGCCTGTCCTAGTCCATGTTTAACATAAACTACAGCAGGAGGCGTTCCAACTACATCTGTATACCAACACAACACATCAACATCTACATCCCTGCAACAACACCTTTCTTACAACAACAACAGACGTCTTAACACTTCACCTTTTACAATTTTAGATCATTCCATGTTAAATCTTCCCTTGTGAGCCCTTCAAAATAAAAATGTTATCGCGAAAGAACCCAAAAATAACTGGTTTACTATTGATCTCTGTTTTTAAGATGATACAATAACAATTAGTTTCATTCTCCATTGTTGAAAAGTTTTGAAAACAGGTCCAAATACCTCCCTAGTTCCGGTTTTTAGCCACTAAATACTAATCATTAAAACTTTTAACAATCTCTGGAAACCTTGAACAATGAACCAGAGTTAGGATGACAACCACGGTCATAACCTACAAAGTTTAAAATATTCTCATCAGGAAAAGCAGTACTTGGGATCCGAATCCGTTCGATCCGCAACATTTTGCTTCCTGGACCCGGATCCGCAAAAATATGCGGATTCACGGATCCGTATTTAAAGGGCAAAATATTAACCAAATACTGAAAAAAATGGTTTGCTCTCTTTATCTTTTGAAAAAATATCCTTTTTTCTGTTCCGTTTAAAAATAAGCGAACAAATTTGAAAATTCTTCTTTTGTTCAACAAAACAGATAATCCTAAAGAAATGTACATGACCTGGATCCGGATCTTTTTTTTCCCCGTGCGGATTTAGGATCTGGATCCAATTCAAAATTAAATGGATCCTAAGCGCTGAGGGAAGGAGAACATTGGGCGAGGATAACTTAGTTAATTTAATGTTTATTTTACTTGCCCATGATTTCTGAAGGCACAACCCCCATTGTAGTACACGTTGATGTACTGCCCAGAACCGGCTTTCACCCGAGATGCACGAGCACCTTCCTCACTTCCATACACAAACTGTACAGGGTACATAAATTACGCGTGTACAGTGTACACCTTAAGAAGCAATTTAAGAAATTACAAAAAAATTATGTTCTTCAGCATTTAAAAGACAAGGGTTTCTTAACCTGTGTTTCCGGATATAAGGTTCCATAAGCAACGACAGGAAAAAATTTAAGAGGTCTATCTCCCTTAACCTCTGAAGATTAAAAGCCATGGTTTAACTCGAGTCTCATTCCTTGTACAAACTTATATTTTTATCGCCAAGTACTGAGTTCAACTCTATTATAAATGTTCTGAGCTAAACTCGATCTAGTTACCCGAGTTCTAAAGCAAAGTACGGTGTCTAATTCCAGTATACAAGTGTTAGGATTACTAAGTGGTAAGTAATTAAGTATTCGAATAATATAAATTACCCATTGCTGTATTTAACTCAAACTCTACAGAATGAGCGGCAAAGTATGCGCCTGCGCAGAAACCAAGATAAATCCCGCCTGAGTTTACAAACTCCTTGATTATCGCCACCCCCTCATATCTACACAAAAACAGTACAGTACAACACCCTAATGCAGACAAGCAAGCAACCATCAATCCGTTGAAGTCAGGGCTGAGACTTCGTCAAAAATAGCCAAAAAATACAGCTATTGCATTTTAACAAGAAAAAAATATTTTCCACAAAAAAACTAGAGAGGGAAAAGATTGTAGTTGTTTTGTTTTAATCCATATTCAAAATAATATTTAAATTTTACTAAACACTGTTTACCCAATATCCTGTAGATATGGAAGATCCCTTCCTCCTGGCATTACAAAAATACTTGGCTTCTTAACATTCATATTCAAAACACAAATCCACGATTCAAGGGACTGTAAACATAATTTCGAGGGACCCACCAATGCACTGGTGCAGGGACAAAATTATCTAATTTTGGTCGTGGAATGTAGGAGTTTAAATTTTTCAGCTCTTTTAGTCTCCTCAATATTTAATTAATAACAATAAAAAATATTTGATGAATATTTCCTTAGCAACTAAGAGAACCCCAAGAGTATCTGAATAAATGAGTTGTGTGGCACAGCCCATAGAAGAGAATGTTTTTATGGTTTCCTTTACACAGAACTCACTAGCCCCCTCGCCATTATAAATAAAAACCAGCATTTTCCTCTAGAATTAATTTTAAATTATTTTCAGCACCGGGATTCAGTTTTATAGGTAAATTAATTCAAAATCCATGGTCCGACGTTCAAAGGTAAGTTTTAGTGTGAAAAGTTTGAATCCCACCCAAACTTGTTTATTTTACATTTTTCAGAAGATTTATAACAATTTGTAAATTAAAATATCTTAATAATACTGAGCAAGTTAAATATCGAGGCCATGCTTTTGACACCACAAATTCTTATCTCTGAGTCATACCTTCAAACGGAGTAATTTTAATATCATTATTTTCATTCTGACAAACAGACATCTAGGCTTAAGAAATATTAGAGCTGATTGATTGCGTACACATGTACGTTGAGGCCATGTGTATAGTTTAACCTCGGGTGTACTGCTTATTCCTAGCTTTGTTTAGCACAACATGATCTGAGTTTGGTTGGTTTGTCCAGATAAACATAGTCTTGATAACTCTCCAGACTGTTTGCCTTGCTCTCCAGGTAGTCCTTGGCTATGGTTTGGAACAGGTCGAATATGTTCTCCCCAACCTTGCTGGAGGTTTCCATCAACTTAGCCGGCACCTCGTCAGCATAGTCCGTTGTGTTGTGGTAATCAACTTTGCGGTTCCTAAAAAAGTATTACTTGACAAAATGTTAACTTAGGATTATTAAATATTCCCGCCCCCTTGTGGTTTTATCAGGGGTATATTAGTTATTCTTGATAATCTGGGAGAAAAAATCAAAAGAATTGACATCAAAACAAGTTTTTTTTAACCTTTTTGATACTTTTACTTTTAACAAAGTATTTAATTCATTTTCCTGATTTCTCAAAGAAAAACCTTTCAAAGGGGAGAATAATGATTTTTCAAGAAAACATACAACCCTGGGCTGTATTTAAAGCGTTGGGCACAGCTACCATTTACTTAATGTTTACGTGAATTGAAACCATAATACATTCAAAAGGAGGTGGGGTGTGTACATTTTTTGTAATTTTCATTTTCCTTACCCGTGTAGTTGCACTTAAAATATAACTTTTCATTTGTGTTATAAATACAAAAAGTATTCAAATAAGTATTCTTCGTTTTCTATCGTGGGCTAAAATCTCCATTTTCGATTAAGAAAAAATGCTTGATTTTAAAATATTAAGATATATTTTTTTTATTTTCCAAAAAAAAAGAATTTTTGCTCTTGGATAAGGAAAAAATAGACGTTTTAAATTAAAAAAAATTTATCTGGCGAAATGGAAAAGAGGAAAAAGCATTGAGACTAAAGACAAAGTGCTTACAAATGTACTGAAACTGGTATTAAAAGTTGTCGCAATAAAGAATTTCTTTTCGATATATGAAAAGCATATAATATTAATGAAATATCTTTCAAAAAAAGAGTTCTGAACTTCCTCTTTATTTGTATTTAAAATCCACTGTACAACGAAATCCTGTCAATGTACTACCTTGAATTTCTTGTATGTGATAAGTGCATTATTTATTGCTTTATTGAGGACAGTTTATTAAAGTTATTCTTATTATTGAAATATAAGTGATTACAAGCGTAAATTTTTAGATGATTGCAATCAATGTTTTTTTATTGAATGTTTCATCCATTTTAAATGTAAAAATTAGTTTTTTTTAATTAAAGTGTGTTATTCTAAAAAATGTTAAGTTTCCTTGGAAATATTTGTCTACTAAATCTGCTGATTAAGTACAAATACAGTCCAGGAAAATAATTAGTGGAACAAAATACCCGGATAAACGCCAACTCTTTTAGTAATTATTTAATTATTTACAAAATAAATTAAATTAAAATTCAACCCGACATCAACAAACTTTTACTTACTTGTTATTTCCTTTGAGTAAATCAATTTTTGTAGCACAGATATAAATAGTACAAGAAGGCTCATGCTTTTTTAGCTCTGTCACCCAAGCTTTAACCTGAACAAAAACTCAAGTAAGAATAGTTTAATTTTGTTTTATCAAATAGATCTATTTACAAGAACGATTAAAATATCTAGGTTACATGCATGAGCAAAAACTGAATGAAAAGATAAATAATATAAAAAATTCGAAGACATTATTGAAGGTTTTTTTTTTTGCCAAAATACCCCCGTTTTACTGAATTGGAAGAAAGAAATTGAAATAATTGACCGATTGATTTGATAATTGATCGATTTGATGATGGATCGATTTACCTTCTCCCAACTATCCTCGTCATTTACTGCGTAGCAAACAATTGCAGCCTAAACAAAATAATAATAGTAACAAACAAATTTGTGTGTCTAATAGATTTTAAACTCTAACATAGAAGTTTAGATAATTGGAATTGGTCTGAGAAGGAATGATACATGAAATAATAAATTAATTATGTTCAAAATGCAATCATAGAAAAAGAAAGAGTTGAGGGAAAGAAAAAAAGGGAAAAAATGAAGGAGATAAAAAAGAAGTAAAAAGGAGATTACAAAATCAGAGAAAAAAATATTAAAAAAAAAATAAAATATCACGACATGCAGCTTTTGTTAATAGTACCTTTGCATTTCTATAATACATTCGGCTCATTGCTTCATATCGTTCACTACCAGCCGTATCCCATACTCCTAGAGTCAACTCCTTTCCTCCTACACTATATTATACATTTAAACTAGGTTTACTCCTTTCCTCCTACACTACATTTTACATATAAACTAGATTTACTCCTTTCCTCCTACACTACATTATACATATAAACTAGGTTTACTCCTTTCCTCCTACACTACATTATACATATAAACTAGGTTTACTCCTTTCCTCCTACACTACATTTTACATATAAACTAGATTTACTCCTTTCCTCCTACACTACATTATACATATAAACTAGGTTTACTTTCCTCCTACACTACATTATACATATAAACTAGGTTTACTCCTTTCCTCCTACACTACATACATATATTTAAACTTGATTTTATACTCTCATTTACTCCTACATTACATCGTACATTTAATTACAAAATATTAAGATTAGGTTTCCATAAGTATGAACTACAGACCTGACAGTTCTGGCTCCGTACGCTGCTCCAATTGTGTTCTGATATCTGTTCTCTCCAGCAAATCTGAATATAAAACTTATTTTACTTTCTATACCAGCGTATTCTGTAATTAAACTGTAAGGAAATGTAATCTGTAAGAGATCCCAATGTGGACCCCCCAGTCCACCGCCAGTGTGTGGTAAGCACCCCCCCCCCCTTAGGTATTCTCCTGCTGGTGGAATCAAGGAGATACGGAAAGCGACGATCACGAGCCCTGCATCTCCTGCTCTCAGTCTGTTTAAAAGTCCTCCTACCTTGCTGTCGCATACATGCGGCTTAAGTGTTGTTTCATAATATTCATCACACCCAGACCCCCCCCCCCCCCGCGTTTTCTGTCCGAGCCTTGACTTCAGAAAGTAATGATTTCCCAACTGTTCATTTGTCTTTTTTAGTTATTGTTTAGTTTTTATTTGCTCTTCTAGGTTCCTATAACGTCCATATGACCCAAAAATTGTCCAATATACTTTCATAAATATAAACTAGATGTAGTCAAACCGCTTCCAATTAAAGTATTTAGGTTGATTGTTCAGTCGTCATCTTTTTAATGAGATCGTCCACTCGTCCGATCGATGGATCGCCTGAATGTCGAATAAAAAATAACCTGTCGTTGAGAAATCTCTCCACCAAGGACGTTTTCCCACAATACTCCTTCCCGAGAAGAACAACCTTTAAATCTATTCTAGACATTTTAGATCAAAACCTTACTCCTCAATATTAATTGATTTAATCAATATTCAGCACTTGCCGAACATTAAATATGGTTTAAAGGTTTGTTCAGAATTTTCAAACCATTTTCAGCTTACTCGCATCTGAAAGAAATGTAATTTCCTGGAGAACGATTTTTGAACTGTCTCTTGTCTGTCCTAGCCGCAGCACTCGCCACCCCAGCCTATCCCAGCCGCAGCGCTCGGCCTATAGTGTCTTAACCTAACCTGACAGTGTCTTAACTTAACCCGAAAGAAAAAGCTTGAGTTGCGCACTGCGCAGAAAAACGAAATATTTGTTTTACGTCCTTGAAATTTTTCTTTAACCAAAACGGCAAATGAATGGAGTAGATCGAAAAACAAATTATATTTTCACTTTTGAACTGTATGATGTAATAGGTCTTTATTAAATATTCGATAGAATATTAAGCTAGAATTTTGTAACAAAGCCCTGGTGAGCTTGATAGCTCTCTCTCTGTGAGCACTGGAAGGAACAGATGACTGGGGGCCTGACGTCATTTGAGCAGAAATTTAGAGAATACTCCGCGGCACACAAGACAAATCAAACCCGCCAAATTCAAAAAAGTAATATACTCAATATACTATACAATATTATTCAATGTTTACTGGCCGAACTCACCGAACTGACCTTATTGTCACCTACAGGGTGTCCCACAAAATATTACATTTTATAAATAGTTATTTTTAGTTTAATAAATCTTTTGATCAATTGTATTTTACTTTGAAATCAATTTTAACATAAAATGACTCCCATATTATATCTTTAAGATCTTTGGTATCTCAACTGTTAATAAATAATGGAAAAAAACATTCTAAACTTCACCAACTGTTTTGTTTCGTGTGACACCCTGTAAGTGACCCGTTTCAATAAGTTAGATCAGGGGCGCACGATCAGGAATATGTCCTGGGGGGAAAGGAGGGTCTTACATTTTTTCCAGGGGGAGCTTAAGCAGTAAGCAGGTGCGCAACTAGGGGTGGGGGTAATTGGGAAAGGCCCCCCTGGCCTGATTAAGGGAGAGACTGCTGGCAAGCCCCATCCCTTAAGAAAGCTTAACAGGGGTCCATAGTTCGAAAAATAGCTAATTTCTCGAAAATTTAAAAAAAAATATGCTGGGCCTACAGAAAAATTCACTGTAACATTTTCAATATAAGCTCAGATTCTTTTTATTTTCGCTCCCACCCTTCTTTAAAAATGCCCCCAAATTGTATTTTTAACATCATACTCACTTCACACATTCTTATTCAAATTGCTAACGATATCATGCTATCGTTTGCATAATGTCCGATTGAACTAACGTACAATATTTTGTACTTTTTTTAAGAGAACATGTTCTGTAAGAAATTTAATGCAAACATTTTGGAGATTGTAATGTTTCAAAATTGCTATCATTTTTGAGTAAATTGATGTTTTTATTAGAATCAATTGTCATTAAATTCTCGATTTTTTGATAAATAGAAGTTTTACTTTGACAGTCTTACTCTTGTAACAGGTATAATGGTAATTGTATAAAATATAACACATATTTAATACGTAATTGTTGAAGATACAGACAAAATGCATATATGAATGTTGATTTAGATGGATACCAAGGGGTGTAATCTGTCGTCTTTGCAATAAGGACAGAGATCAGGGACAGAATGGAATCGGTGTTATAGGTATAGATCATGTAGTGCTATCAGACGCGCAACTAGGGGGGGGCAGGGGGGGCAGGCCCCCCTATCCTGATTAAGGGGGGGCATGCCACTCCCTTAAGAAGTCTTGCCCCCCCCTGTAGGGGGGGGGGCAAGAAAGGACGAAGTCCACCCTGTTTTGCAATTTAGCGATTCATGAATCCAGACCCTGAGGAAATTTAAGAGCTCTTATCGTAAAATAAAAAAAGATAATTGAACTTTAGTTTATTGAGCTTATAGTTCAATCCATATAGCACTTAATACACCATATACACACATACAGACCCCCTTTGTCTCCGAGATAACTACTGCCGTAGATCAGAACAGTTTGACAAGGTTCTAATGTGCCTTAATCTTTGTTTTTTTTCATTATGCTGTTTTTTCCTGGGAAAGGGAAAGGGGGTTTACCAAGTATTTTTTAGATATTTTCACTCAGTTCTGCCACTTATTATGATATTGCTTTAATACTGTAGTACAACTATTCAATTAATCCTACATGTTCACCGCAAATATTGTGTGATGTGTCATATTAAAAAAAAATATTTTTCATGTAAAATCATGAATTTTTAATAAAAGGCATTTCTTGTCAGTTTTTGAGTACAATGTACATATTTGATTTATGGATAACTAATGAAAATTTATATATATATATGTAATTTGTATTGAAAATTAATTATTTTTGTGATTTATACCAGAATCAGGGGCGGATAAAGGATTTAAGTGAAGGGGAGGAGGCAAGATTTTTTAGGAACAAAAAAATTCATAATTAGGAACCAAAAATCGCGGCGCAGGCGAAATTTTTTTTGACTTAAAAGACTCAAAAAGAGTGAAAATTAATGACTAAAGACTAAAAAACTAGATTTTTAACTTTTCACACATGACAGTTTATTAAGACAGATATTTTTCCTGTTTTGCACTAGGGTTTCTTTCCAAATTAAGCATGCTATTGAAAAGCTATTCTGAAATAAGAGCAAAAAAATCCAAATTCATGGGGGGGGGGCGAATGTCCCCCCCCTGTATCCGCCCCTGACCAGAATAGATTTCTTGTTTCATTTTATATCAGATGTGTTGACTTATAACTGAATATCCGGTTGGTAAGGTTAGTTTTTTATTGTTTAAGTATAACACACATTTTTCTTGCCCCCCCCCCCCCTAAAAATGTTAAGGGGGGGGCCAAAAAAATTTTCGCGCTTCGCGCCAAATATTTTCCCATAGCCCCCCTCTAACCAAATGTCTAGTTGCGCGCCTGAGTGCTATACATTACATAGGAAAAATACAGTTTGCGGCATCTGTTTATATACAGTGTACACAGATCCGGGGTATGTAAACAGTAGACAATGAAAAAATTAAAGAAATCCGCTAAACCCACAGTGTTTTTGCCAAGACCGCACACCCATGTAGGATGAAATGGGAGGAGAAATCACCTGCTTGGTTGCGCCTATAATTCTCAGTATTCTCGAACAACTTTTTATATCATTTTGGATGTTTTGCGTCATGTTTTTCAAATTGCTAACTATTCTAAATATTTTTTGAATAGTTGAACTTTGCATTTTTATTCATGCTTGAAATGACGTCTACAAAAATCCCTCTCTTATTCAAATGTACATGTTAACCTTTATGTTCTATGATTAGGGGTCTGTAAAATTCCCCTGTACAAACTGTCTACCAGCATTCTATACTCTACCCTTTCTCCGATGGATACAGATGAAGGAATGTTGATGGTGTGAATTTCTGTGGACAGAATATTGAATTGGTTTGAAAATAATTAATATCAATGAATATGGATTTAAGAAATTTACATGAAAAAATTAAGTAAAGAAAAATACGTAAAAATACGTATAGTAAAAACCTAAAAACTTAGAAAAAGTACTTGGTATATGAAATTTACGAAAATTTACGTATTTTAAGGTTTGCATCAAACTTTTAAAAATACAATTTTCTAAATAAAAAAAAACATTTTAAAGTAAAGAAAAACTTTTAAAAACGTAAAATAAACACCTAAAACTTTTAAACATTTCTTGGTATGAAATTTACGAAAATATACGTAATTTTAGGTTTGCATTAAACTTTCAAACTCTACAAAAAATACAACTTACGTAAAAATACGTGAAATAAAAACCTAAAAACTTTGAAGCATTTCTTGGTATGAAATTTACGAAAATATACGTATTTTTAGGTTTGCATCAAACTTTCAAACTCTAAAAAATTAAACTTTTAAGTAAAGAAAAACCCTAAAAAATACGTAAAAATACGTAAATAAAAACCTAAAAAACTTTGAAATATTACTTGGTATAAAATTTACGAAAACATAAGTATTTTAAACTCTTAAAAAAATACAATTTTTTCAGTAAAGAAAAAACCTAAAAAATACGTAAAATATGTAAAATAAAAACCTAAAAAATACACAAAAATATGTAAAATAAAAACCTAAAAACTTTGAAAAATTTCTTGGTTTAAAATTTACGAAATTATACGTATTTTTAGGTTTGCATCAAACTTTTAAACTCTAAAAAATACAATTTTTTAAGTAAAGAAAAAACCAAAAAAAATACGTAAAAATACTTTTAAAAAAAACCTAAAAATTTAGAAAAATCACTTGGTAAAAAGTATATGTAATTTTTCGTATAAATACGTTCCTGGAAAACTAAAGCATTTAAAAAAATGCTTGGTATGATAAATACGTAAAAATATGTAAATATACGTAAGTTCTTTATACCCAAAAGTTGAGCATACGTATTAATACGTAAAAATACCTATAATACGTGTACCTATATAGAGAATTTGGCATTTTTAGGCTTTCAGGTTATAGGGGTTAGTACAAATAACATGTCCAACAAAAAATTTGTTCAAACAGAATAATGTTTTTCTCTGTAAATATTGTGCAAATGAACATTTCCAACAAAATTTTTGTTCAAACAGAAATTCAGAATAATTTTTTTCTCTGTAAATTTTAGTGCAATTGAACGTTAGTACAGATGAACATTTCCAACAAAAGATTTGCTCAAACAGACTATTTTTTTAATTTATGAGGAAAATGATGAAATTTTAGATTTTAGTTCGATTGAACATTTTTTGTTCATTTGTACTAATTCTAATTTATGGGCAAAATGGTGAATTTTAGACTTTTTGTTTATTTGTTTCTAAAATAAGTTCAATTGCACAAATTATAATTTATAGGCAAACGGTATAAGTTTTAAAATTTTTGTTCGATTGAACAATTAAACGAGATGAAATAATCTTGATGCATTCTTTAACGAAGGCCGCATGTTTGGTTCATTGGTATATGAATATGTTCATTTGTACTAACTTTAATTTTACTCACACTTTTAGCTTAACAATTGAACATTTTTTGTTCAAATTCCCCCTAAAATATGTTCAATGGAGATAATTAAATAAATAAACCGAATTCCGCTAGAATATAAAAAAATAGTTCT